CCACCCCCATGCTTCACAGTAGGTATGGTGTTCTTTGGATGCAACTCAGCATTCTTTGTCCTCCAAACACGACGAGTTGAGTTTTTACCAAAAAGTTATATTTTGGTTTCATCGGACCATATGACATTCTCCCAATCCTCTTCTGGATCATCCAAATGCACTCTAGCAAACTTCAGACGGGCCTGGACATGTACTGGCTTAAGCAGGGGGACACGTCTGGCACTGCAGGATTTGAGTCCCTGGCGGCGTAGTGTGTTACTGATGGTAGGCTTTGTTACTTTGGTCACAGCTCTCTGCAGGTCATTCACTAGGTCCCCCCGTGTGGTTCTGGGATTTTTGCTCACCGTTCTTGTGATCATTTTGACCCCACGGGGTGAGATCTTGCGTGGAGCCCCAGATCGAGGGAGATTATCAGTGGTCTTGTATGTCTTCCATTTCCTAATAATTGCTCCCACAGTTGATTTCTTCAAACCAAGCTGCTTACCTATTGCAGATTCAGTCTTCCCAGCCTGGTGCAGGTCTATAATTTTGTTTCTGGTGTCCTTTGACAGCTCTTTGGTCTTGGCCATAGTGGAGTTTGGAGTGTGACTGTTTGAGGTTGTGGACAGGTGTCTTTTATACTGATAACAAGTTCAAACAGGTGCCATTAATACAGGTAACGAGTGGAGGACAGAGGAGCCTCTTAAAGAAGAAGTTACAGGTCTGTGAGAGCCAGAAATCTTGCTTGTTTGTAGGTGACCAAATACTTATTTTCCACCATAATTTGCAAATAAATTCATTAAAAATCCTACAATGTGATTTTCTGGATTTTTCTCTCTCAATTTGTCTGTCATAGTTGACGTGTACCTATGATGAAAATTACAGGCCTCTCTCATCTTTTTAAGTGGGAGAACTTGCACAATTGTTGGCTGACTAAATACTTTTTTTCCCCACTGTATACAGTGGGGAGAACAAGTATTTGATGCACTGCCGATTTTGCAGGTTTTCCTACTTACAAAGCATGTAGAGGTCTGCAATTTTTATCATAGGTACACTTCAACTGTGAGAGACTGAATCTAAAACAAAAATCAAGAAAATCACATTGTATGATTTTTAAGTAATTAATTTGCATTTTATTGCATGACATCAGTATTTGATACATCAGAAAAGCAGAACTTAATATTTGGTACAGAAACCTTTGTTTGCAATTACAGAGATCATACGTTTCCTGTAGATCTTGACCAGGTTTGCACACACTGCAGCAGGGATTTTGGCCCACTCCTCCATACAGGCCTTCTTCTTTTCGGGGCTGGGCAATACGGACTTTCAGCTCCCTCCAAAGATTTTCTATTGGGTTCAGGTCTGGAGACTGGCTAGGCCACTCCAGGACCTTGAGATGCTTCTTACGGAGCCACTCCTTAGTTGCCCTGGCTGTGTGTTTCGGGTCGTTGTCATGCTGGAAGACCCAGCCACGACCCATCTTCAATGCTCTTACTGAGGGAAGGAGGTTGTTGGCCAAGATCTCGCAATACATGGCCCCATCCATCCTCCCCTCAAAACGGTGCAGTCGTCCTGTCCCCTTTGCAGAAAAGCATCCCCAAAGAACATTTCCACCTCCATGCTTCACGGTTGGGATGGTGTTCTTTGGGTTGTACTCATCCTTCTTCTTCCTCCAAACATGGCGAGTGGAGTTTAGACCAAAAAGCTATATTTTTGTCTCATCAGACCACATGACCTTCTCCCATTCCTCCTCTGGATCATCCAGATGGTCATTGGCAAACTTCAGACGGGCCTGGACATGCGCTGGCTTGAGCAGGGGGACCTTGCGTGCGCTGCAGGATTTTAATCCATGACGGCGTAGTGTGTTACTAATGGTTTTCTTTGAGACTGTGGTCCCAGCTCTCTTTAGGTCATTTACCAGGTCCTGCCGTGTAGTTCTGGGCTGATCCCTCACCTTCCTCAGGATCATTGATGCCCCACGAGGTGAGATCTTGCATGGAGCCCCAGACCGAGGGTGATTGACCGTCATCTTGAACTTCCATTTTCTAATAATTGCGCCAACAGTTGTTGCCTTCTCACCAAGCTGCTTGCCTATTGTCCTGTAGCCCATCCCAGCCTTGTGCAGGTCTACAATTTTATCCCTGATGTCCTTACACAGCTCTCTGGTCTTGGCCATTGTGGAGAGGTTGGAGTCTGTTTGAGTGTGTGGACAGGTGTCTTTTATACAGGTAACAAGTTCAAACAGGTGCAGTTAATACAGGTAATGAGTGGAGAACAGGAGGGCTTCTTCAAGAAAAACTAACAGGTCTGTGAGAGCCTTAATTCTTACTGGTTGGTAGGTGATCAAATACTTATGTCATGCAATAAAATGCAAATTAATTACTTAAAAATCATACAATGTGATTTTCTGGATTTTTGTTTTAGAATCCGTCTCTCACAGTTGAAGTGTACCTATGATAAAAATTACAGACCTCTACATGCTTTGTAAGTAGGACAACCTGCAAAATCGGCAGTGTATCAAATACTTGTTCTCCCCACTGTATGTGGGGTACAGAGTCAAAAAATCATGTTAACCACTATTATTGCACACAGAGTGAGTCCATGAAACTTATTATGTGACTTGTTAAGCATATTTTTACACCTGAACGTATTTAGGCTTGCCCCAACAAAGGTGTTGAACACTTATTGACTCAAGACATTTCAGCCTTAAATGTTTTATTAATTTGTAAACATTTAAAAAAACGAAATTCCACTTTGACATTGTGGGATATTGTGTATAGATCAGTGGTACAACATTTCAATTTAGTACATTTTAAGTTCAGCCTGCAGCACAACAAAATGTGGAAAAAGTCAAAGGGTGTGAATACTTTTCTGAAAGTGCTATAGATATACCATGTTTTGCTAGCAAGTCAGCAATGTACTATTAAATGTTGGCTTGGAAACTCTGAAAATGCTATCTCTACAACCACATTGATTCATTGTGCGCTACAAATAATATGTGAAAACACTGCCATAGTGATATTCCTATTGCATATATATTTGAGTAACAGATTTTGGTACAGATTTTAAGATAATTACTGCAGACTGCAGATGACTTCACAACTGTGAGTGTGTTAGCAGATCCAGGGCTGTTTACCAAGGAGGATTGGCATGTTTCATCCATTTTAATTTTAATATTTCTAACATTGTACTGGTGAAGTAGTAAACGTCTTCCTGCCAACAAGCCTTCCATACCACATTTCTCTTTTCAAATAACATCGTAACATGGAGTTTGTCCATTTTGTTGACACTTTATTCAAACTGATTAAAACGATTTTGTTTTTCAATCCCGCCTCTCCCACACACACACTGTTAAACTAGCCCTTAAGCGCACACACACACTACCCCAGTTTAACAGAGTTTACGCCTAACCTGGAAATAAGTCTAGTTATGCAACAAACTTTCAGAACTGGCCTAGATACCAGCTGATAACATTTTATCCCGCTCACTCCCTCCCTCCCCATCTCTCCCTACCTCTTTTACTCCTTTTTCCATTTCTCATTAAAAAAATTCTGGTAACACTTTACTTTTGATCATTATGACCATCCTGTGTCACTTTACTTGGACCAAGAAAATACACTTTATGACACTGTCAAGAAGCATTATGACCATCATAATCATATAAGCCAGATAGGCCTAGACGTACATGCCTTTATATCAGTCATCAGTCAAAAAGAGGGTGTCTTGTCCTGCTCCTGAAATCTGCTCCTGCATTCATCCCAGTCATCAGCAACAGAGCATTGGGGTAGGTGCATGTCTAACATCAATATGTGCGCAATTACAATGATAATAGAAATGTATTTATTTTTATATAACATAAACACACTGTTGACACGTAGGCTATGGTGTAATGGAATGTTTTGCCTTGTGTGGTAGGTTTTGTGGGTTTTGACACTTATATAGGTGTCATAACCAGCAATAAAGTAATGCAATTTTTGTCACAACAGGTCTAAATATGTGTCATGACCGTGTTAGGACCATATTATAACAGGTTATGGCAAGTTATGTCAGCTGTTATGACATTTATGACTGTCGTAACATGTTATGACGCTGGGTGTCATGTAAAGTGTCACCTTTTTTCTTATTTTCTTCCTCGCACCCTTTTTCCTCTCCGTCTTTCTCTCTCTCTCCCTCCCTCCCTTCTGCTCTCCCTCCACCCTCTCCCCCCCTCTGTCTATCTGTGTAAGTAGGGCAGGCTTCACCCTCTCGTGTCGTTTTTCACCCTAAGCAGTGTGACGGGGCCTGTTCTGCCATTGGTTTGGAGTCTCTCCTCTCCCTCCCAGTAGACTGTGACCAGATAACAGGCTGAGGCTGACTATGGTCATGGTCTAATTGTTTTCTGCATGCATGGGGCACACAGCGATAAAGAGAGAGAGAAATTGAGAATTCCGGTCTTGAATCCCTTGTGTTGTCATAGGCTGTTTGCATAGTAGAATGGTGTAAACAACAATGCGTTTTCGACCACAGTTTTCCCATGACTTAAATGGCGTGTGGAGAAACAAACCAGGTGACTACGTAGGTGACTTTAGGTCATCTCCATTGTAATATTCAGTGTTAAAGTGGCTATTACATTACCTGAACTGCCCTTGTCTGAAGTAGGCGCTGCAGAGAGTGTATACGTTAATGATATGTACTTAGTGGTACTATAAACACAGCAGAGCAGACCTGTCTTATTTTGATCAAATAGATCAATTACCTGAACCTCTGTGTTTAGCCCAATGGTCATTTAGCAGATGCTTTTATCCAAAGCTGTCTTACATTTATCACATGTATTTCTACCATGCGGGAATCAAACCCACAACTGTGGTGTTGTGAACACTTAGCCATCAACAATAATGTCTATTGTAATCAATTTGGTAAAGTATGCTACACACAATAATACACAATCATTCATGTGGCATAAAATAACGTTCCCTCCTTGTAATCTTTAGTTGTAAATAACATTACTTCCCTGTACCTTTTTTGTTTTCCTTTTGTGCTAGCGTTCCTTCATCTGCCGTCTGACGGAGGACAAGAAGTCAGAGAAGTTTTTCCGGGTGTTCTATGACCGGATGAAGCTTGCCCAGCTGGAGATCAAAGCCACGGTGACAGTCAACACCAGCGACCTCGGCAACAGGAAAAGAGACGACGACACCCCCGACAAGGACGTGCCCGTCCGCAAGAAAGGTCAGAGGTCAACCAAAATCCAAATGTCCACCTCATATCAGCCGTTATTGGGTTTTGAGGGAGTAGGATGAAGTTACCCCATGACACTTATCTAAGGTCAATTTCTCTCTGAACACATTAGCAATAAATAATAACTGCCACAAAGAAGTCTTTCTTTTTATCCCAGTACCTAGATTTGTGATGATTTATAGACTTTGTGGACTGGTTCCCTCCCTGTGTCTCTGCAGCTAAAGACTCAGTGGTAGTGGTGACAGATGAGGCGAGAGAGCAGCTGCTGGAGGCCTCGTCGGCCACTAAGAAAGCCTTCAACTCGTACCGCCGTGAGGCCGACCCCGATGACCACTTCTCTACGGCTGATGGCACACCCAGCACCGGGGACAAGGGCCAGGACGATGGAGAGATGAGCTTTATCATCGTCATCATGCAGCCCATCCTGCGCTTCCTCCAGCTGCTCTGTGAGAACCACAACCGAGACCTGCAGGTCAGTCAGCCAGCCCAACACCAGGGGAAGCTAGCCCTCACAGACACTGCCTCTTTAGTCTAATTTATACCTTCCGTGAGGTAAGATGGAGGCGCTGAGGAGGGTATGCATCTTGCCGGTTCCTGCTCGACTTTGCTTTTTATGGCTATTCTTGCATTAATCAATACTTTGTTTGCTCAGAATTTCCTACGACTGACAAACACTTCTAGATCACTTCTCTCTCATCCTCCCAGATCTGGGATACTACATTCGCTCCTTTGTTCCCCGCACAGCGGACTTACCCTTTTCTGCTGTCCAAGATGACCGAAGGCAACGCCGGCGACGACGGAAAGGGGGACTCCAAGCTAGGCTAAAAGACGGGCTAAGCAGCCTCCTCTTCGTAGTATCCTGATAGCTAATGTCCAATCGCTGGAAAATAACCTTTGTGAACTCAGAGCAAGGCTTCAATCGCAGAGTTACATCAGGGAATGCTGTGTCTGTTTTTACAGAGACATCAAATAACATTTTATTTGCCACATGCGCCGAATACAACAGTGAAATGCTTACAAGTCCTTAACCAACAATGCATTTTTAAGAAAAATAAGTGTTAAGTAAAAAATAATAACATACAGCCACATGCAAACACCAAGGCGGCACTCAGCGAACTGTACAAGATCATTAGCCAGCAAGAATCTGCTCACCCGGAAGCAGTCTTTATTGATGCAGGTGATTTTAACCAAGTCCCCACCTGCTTCAAGGAGACCACCATCGTCCCAATGCCCAAGAAAACAAGGTGACATGCCCAAATGACTATCGCCCCGTCACACTCACCGCAGTCATCATGAAGTGCTTCTAGAAGCTGGTCATGGCCCACATCAAGGCCAGCATGTCAGGCACACTGGACCCACTCCAATTTACCTACCACTCCAACAGATCCACGGAAGATGCCATTTCCATAGCTATTCACACTGCCGTAACACATCTGGACAAGAGGAAAACTTACTGTATGTGAGAATGCTGTTCATTGACTACAATTTAGCATACAACACTATTGTTCCCTCCAAGCTCAGAGCCCTGGGTCTGGACACCACCCTCTGCAACTGGATGCTGGACTTCCTGACGGGCAGACCACAGGTTGTGAGGATTGGCAACAACACCTCATTCACACCGACTCTTAACACATGGGCCACCCAGGGGTGTTTCCTCAGCCCTCAGCTGTACTCCCTGTTCACCCACGACTGCGTGGCTTTGCACGGCACCAACTTTATCATCAAGTTTACTGACAACACTACGGTTGTAGGTCTGATAACCAACAACGATGTGTCAGCCTATAGGGAGGAGGTAAGTGAACTGGCATTGTGGTGCCAGGACAAAAACCTCTCCCTCAACATCAGCAAAACAAAGGAATTGATTGATGACTTCAGGAAGCAGAGGAGGGAACATGCCACGATCCACATCAACGAGACTACAGTAGAGAGAGTATGCAGTTTTAAGTTCCTCGGTGTCCACATCACCAAAGACCTGACATGGACCAACAACACCACTACTCTTGTTAAGAGGGCACAACAGCGTCTCTATTTCCTAAGGTGGCTGAAGAAATACTACCGTTGCACCATCGAGCGGTTGTACCGGTTGTATCACGGCCTGGTAAGGGAATTGCTCCGTCCACGACTGCCAGGCCCTCCAGCGTGTGGTGAAGACGGCCCAGTACGTCACTGGGACCGTGCTCCCACCCATCCATCCATCCATCCATTCTCCACACCTTAGTACACATGCACTCACTCACGCACGAACACACAAACACACCCACACAGACATTCATGCTACACACACATCACAACTGCTCCTACCAGACTCTTATTATGATTGCTAAATACTGCACAATTTAAACACTTGCCCCCCCAATCCCCCCTTCCCCAAAACACGTGTAAATATTGGACTATAAATTGTGCCTCCCTGTATTATAGATATGCTAACATGTTTATTCTGTTCTACTGAGCTGTTTACTTTATGTTCATATTCTTATCTTTTCTTATTTCTTATTGTTGTTGCAATGCCGAGGAGGAACCTGCAATTAAGCATTTCGTTGGATGGTGTATACCATGTGTGTCCCGTACATACGACGAATAAAACGTGAAACTTACGTACGTGCACAATGGATGGCGTTGTGGTCTACGAGCCATTTAACATTGCTGCTAGTGCTCATGAAGATTAGTGGGATGACCATGAGGTGTAGTACGTAGGCTAGTTAGTCAATAGCTGGATGTATCCACCATTGAGCAGGTAATTGGCCCTGTAGAAAATCCCTCCAGCTCAGTCTTCAGGTTATCTGCTGGTCTCCTGCTCCGGCCAGTGTCTTGCGTGTGGTGTGTGTGGGCTGCTGCTGTGTATTCACCGTCTGAACTGAGCTGAGTCATCTCCCCTGGGCCAGAGGTGGTGGGAGGATCAGGAGTAATACGATAGATGGTTATATTCAGTAATGGAGGCCTGGCCGTCACGTCTCTAATCTAACAGTTAGCTCAATACAATGGTCCTGATTACCCAGTGACGCATGCATGGATGTTCTCTGTGTACTCTAAGGAGTCAGGGTCACCCTGTCCTCATTTTGATGTTACCTGAAAGTCTCTTCAGTTCAGAGTCAGACACACTTTCAATGCACATTTCCCTTTCAATACACAATGTAAAGTGGGATTGTTTTCCTGTAAAGTAAAAAATGGTGTGTATAAAATGTGTTGACTTTGCGTTCTGATGTTTCCTGCCCTTTCCCTTCCCTCACACTTGCCGCTTTCCACTCCAGAACTTCCTTCGGTGTCAGAACAACAAGAACAACTATAACCTGGTGTGTGAGACACTGCAGTTCCTGGACTGTATCTGTGGCAGCACAACGGGAGGCCTGGGTCTACTGGGACTCTACATCAATGAGAAGAACGTGGCTCTCATCAACCAGACAGTAGAGAGCCTGACGGAGTACTGCCAGGGACCCTGCCATGAGAATCAGGTACTGGGATGGGTCTTGGCCTTTAGAACTACAACTAGCTAACTACCCTTGTCATTAGAACTAATTAGCTATGGGCCTTTGTCATTTTCTCATTAGAACTACAAGCAGATACAGTGTGGGCCCATCCCATAAGACAGGGATCATCAACTAGATTCAGCCGCGGGACGATTTGTTTCTTGAGCGGTTGGTCCGGTAGCCGGAACATAATTACAAATAATTTGTAGACTACAAATTGGCCGCAAGAAGGCCAAACAGATATAATATTTGACAAAAACATAATAACGTCAAACCTTGCTTACATTTGTATAAGATCACGTGTCTATTATGTTTGGAAATACTTGGGAACAGATTTATCACTTGGAGCTGATTTCCTGGTGTTTTTACAGTTTTTTATGTCCAACAATAAAAAAACATGTTTTATTCTCAGATAACTTGGGGGGGCCAAATAGATCCACCTGTGGGCCAAATTCGTCCCGCAGGCCGCCAGTTGGAGAACCCTGCCATAAGAACTAGCTACAAGCACATATGCATACCATAGGAACCAGTTATGGACTCCTGTCCTGGGTCCGCTTCCATTTCCATCCATACTACTGCTACTGTCATTGGGTGGATTGACAGGGTCCAGACATGCATAGTTCTTGATCTAGTGTTCTCCTCCGTGCTTTATAAAATTGACCCAAGTTCTTGTTTCCTTGCAGAACTGCATAGCCACCCATGAGTCCAACGGCATTGACATCATCATCGCCCTGATCTTGAATGACATCAACCCACTGGGGAAGAAGAGGATGGACCTGGTGCTGGAACTCAAGGTAGCCCTCCTTCACATTTGGTCTGCGTCTAAAATGGCATCTTAGTCTCTATGTAGTGCTGTACTTCTGACCAGATTAGTGTAATATATAGGGAATTGGGTGCCATTTTGGAAGCCGCCTGGGTCTCCACACTAAGCCTACCAGTAGTAAAGCTACTTTACCTGGACAACTCATTCATCTCTCCTAAGCTAGCACCTTTGGTGCCAAAACAAATATCTGCAGAGTGCATTTTCACTCTAAGCCCTGTGGATTCTGTCTGTTTATTTGGAAGGAGGAACAGAAACAGCTCAGAAAGGATTTGATCTTTAACTTTAGACGTATCTCATTACAAGAGCATAATGGTTTAATATCATGGAAACGTATCTCTCTCTCTCTCTCTCTCTCTCTCTCTCTCTCTCTCTCTCTCTCTCTCTCTCTCTCTCTCTCTCTCTCTCTCTCTCTCTCTCTCTCTCTCTCTCTCTCTCTCTCTCTCTCTCTCTCTCTCAGAACAATGCCTCCAAGCTGTTGCTGGCTATCATGGAGAGTCGCCATGACAGTGAGAACGCTGAGAGAATCCTGTACAACATGAGGCCGAAGGAGCTGGTGAGCCTCGTGTCCCCACAAAACTCTACGTGACCATATAAGTCCCCATTCAGCCCCACAAATCCCCTTTCATCCCCAGACGTCCCCATTCATCTGAAAAAGTCCCCATTCATCATCCCCACCAGTTCCCAGAAGTCCCCAATTGCCCGACAATTAAAGGCCACTTTAAAATGTGCAGTTTTGGCACACAACACAATGCCACAGATATCTCAAGTTTTGAGGGAGCATGCAATTGGAATGCTGACTGCAGGAATGTCCACCAGAGCTGTTGCCAGGGAATTGAATGTTACCATAAGCCACCTCCGTCGTTTTAGAGAATTTGATGGTACGTCCAATCGGCCTCACAACTGCAGACCACATGTAACCACGCCAACCAGGATTTCCACATCCAGCTTCTTCACTTCTGGGATGGGACCAGCCACCCGGACAGCTGATGAAACTGTGGGTTTACACAACCAAAGAAGTTCTGCACAAACTGTCAGAAACCATCTCAAGGAAGCTCATCTGTGTGCTCGTCATCCTCACCAGGGTCTTGACCTGACTGCAGTTCGGCGTCGTAACCCACTTCAGTGGGCAAATGCTAACCTTCGATGGCCACTGGCACGCTGGGGAAGTGTGCTCTTCACGATTGAATCCCGGTTTCAACTGTACCGGCAGATGGCAGACAGCGTGTATGGCGTCATGTGGGCAAGCGGTTTGCTGATGTCAACGTTGTGAACAGAGTGCCCCATGATGGCGGTGGGGTTATGGTATTGGCAGGCATAAGCTACGGACAACAAACACAATTGCATTTTATCGATTACAATTTGAATGCACAGAGATACCGTGACGGGATCCCAAGGCCCATTGTCGTGCCATTCATCCGCCGCCATCTCCTCATGTTTCAGCATGATAACGCACGACCCCATGTTGCAAGGATCTGTACACAATTCCTGGAAGCTGAAAATGTCCCAGTTCTTCCATGGCCTGCATACTCACCACACGTCACCCATTTAGCATGTTTGGGATGCTCTGGATCGACGTGTACGACATTGTGTTCCTGTTCCCGCTAATATCCAGCAACTTCGCACAGCCATTGAAGAGGAGTGGAACAACATTCCACAGGCCACAATCAACAGCCTGATCAACTCTATGCGAAGGAGATGTCAAGCTACATGAGGCAAATGGTGGTCACACCAGATACTGACTGGTTTTCTGATCCACACACTTTTTTGTAAGGTATCTTTGACCAACAGATGCATATCTGTATTCCCATGTGAAATTCATGGATTAGGGCCTAATTTATTTATTTAAATTCCCCCTGATTTCCTTATATGAACTGTAATTCAGTAAAGTCTTGCATGTTGCATTTATATTTTTGTTCAGTGTAGTTCTATCCTCCTGAGACAGTCAGTGTTTCTGGTCAGGTATAAAGCGTTGAAGGTAATGGTTCTGTGGGTGGTGTGGTCCTCAGGTGGAGGTGATCAAGAAGGCCTACCTGCAGGGAGAGGTGGAGTTTGAGGATCCCGAAGAGGACGACGATAGTGGGGAGGAGGAGGAGCACGATGCTGCCTCCCCCAGGAACGTGGGCCACAACATCTACATCCTGGCCCACCAGGTAGAGGACAGGGCCTAGTTTACCCCAATGATACACATGGTTTTATGGATAACCAACCATTTGAGGTATATAAGTTCTCTCAGCAGAGTCAGATGCAGTCTCCTGTCTTGCCTGCCATACTCCTTACGAGTGATTTCACCCCTTATTTGACCTTTGAACCCTGTAGTTAGCGCGCCACAACAAGGAGCTGCAGGTGATGCTGAAGCCAGGCGGGACCAACGGAGAGGGAGACGAGGCTCTGGAGTTCTACGCCAAACACACTGCTCAGATAGAGGTCAGTGACATCAAACACATACACTCACACAGTTTACTAACTGGATATCCTTAACTGTCATTGACACAAATGTGTCCTTTTGCCATAGAGCAGTGTTTCCCAATCCTGGTCCTGGGGACCCAAAGGGGTGCACATTATGCCTGGGCGATATACCGTATACCTGGGTATTTCAAAATACCGACGGTATTATTTTCATTACCGTTTATGATTTTCAATACCAGCCTCACGGGGGTGCGTGGAACACCGCTGCTTATAACTATAAATTAAGTACTACTATAAGAAATCTAAGATGTGTCATATAAACTGTATCCTGCTCAGGGCTCAAGCTAAGCATTTGGTTTGCTAACTTGCTAGCTAAGTGGCTAGATATCAAGATCAAGCTTCTTGGTTACAGTAGAGACATTCAATACGCTCCTGGATCAAGATCCCTGTTGCCTAAATAGTTTTGTGCGTCAAAAATGTGTATATATATATATATATATGTACAGTGGCTTGCGAAAGTATTCACCCCCCTTGGCATTTTTCCTATTTTGTTGCCTTACAACCTGGAATTAAAATGGATTTTGGGGGGGGGTTGTATCATTTCATTTACACAACATGCCTACCACTTTGAAGATGCAAAATATTTTTTACTTTGAAACAAACAAGAAATAAGACAAAAAAATGAAAACTTGAGCAAACTCACTCCCCCAAGTCAATACTTTGTAGAGCCACCTTTTGCAGCAATTACAGCTGTAAGTCTCTTGGGGTATGTCTCTATAAGCTTGGCACATCTAGCCACTAGGATTTTTTCCCATTCTTCAAGGCAGAACTGCTCCAGCTCCTTCAAGTTGGATGGGTTCCGCTGGTGTACAGCAATCTTTAAGTCATACCACAGATTCTCAATTGGATTGAGGTCTGGTCTTTGACTAGGCCATTCCAAGACATTTAAATGTTTCCCCTTAAACCACACAAGTGTAGCAGTATGCTTAGGGTCATTGTCCTGCTGGAAGGTCTCAAATCTCTGGAAGACTGAAACAGGTTTCCCTCAAGAATTTCCCTGTATTTAGCGGCATCCATCATTCCTTCAATTCTGACCACTTTTCCAGTCCCTGCCGATGGGAAAAACATCCCCACACCATGCTTCACTGTGGGGATGGTGTTCTCGGGTGATGAGAGGTGTTGGGTTTGCGCCAGACATAGCGTTTTTCTTGATGGCCAAAAAGCTCAATTTTAGTCTCACCTGACCAGAGTACCTTCTTCCATATGTTTGGGCAGTCTCCCACATGGCTTTTGGCGAACACCAAACGTGTTTGCTTATTTTTTTCTTTAAGCAATGGCTTTTTTCTGGCCACTCTTCCGTAAAGTCCAGCTCTGTGGAGTGTACGGCTTAAAGTGGTCCTATGGACAGATACTCCAATCTCCACTGTGGAGCTTTGCAGCTCCTTCAGGGTTATAATAATAATATGCCATTTAGCAGACGCTTTTATCCAAAGTGACTTAGTCATGTGTGCACACATATTTACGTATTATCTTTGGTCTCTTTGTTGCCTCTCTGATTAATGCCCTCCTTGCCTGGTCTGTGAGTTTTCGTGGGCGGCCCTCTCTTGGCAGGTTTGTTGTGGTGTCATATTCTTTCCATTTTTTAATAATGGATTTAATGGTGTTCCGTGGGATGTTCAAAGTTTCGTATATTTTTTTGTAACCCTATAATCTGTACTCCACAACTTTGTCCCTGACCTGTTCGGAGAGCTCCTTGGTCTTCATGGTGCCGCTTGCTTGGTGGTGCCCCTTGCTTAGTGGTGTTGCAGACTCTGGGGCCTTTCAGAACAGGTGTATATATACTGAGATCATGTGACAGATCATATGACACTTAGATTGCGCACAGGTGGACTTTATTTAACTAATTATGTGACTTCTGAAGGTAATTGGTTGCACCATATCTTATTTAGGGGCTTCATAGCAAAGGGGGTGAATACATATGCACGCACCACTTTTCCGTTATCAATTTCTTATTATTTCTTTAAACAAGTTATGTTTTTCATTTCACTTCACCAATTTGGACTATTTTGTGTATTTCCATTACATGAAATCCAAATAAAATCAATTTAATTTACAGGTTGTAATGCAACAAAATAGGAAAAATGCCAAGGGGGATGAATACTTTTGCAATGCACTGTATGTATGTATGTATGTACGCTACCAGTCAAAGGTTTGGACACACCTACTCATTCAAGGGTTTTTCTTTATTTTTACTATTTTTTACATTGCAGAATAATAGTGAAGACATCAAAACTATGAAATAACACATATGGACTCATGTAGTAAACAAATGTAAGTATATATTTTATATTTGAGAATCTTCAAATAGCCACCCTTTTCCTTGATGACAGCTTTGCACACTCTTGGCATTCTCTAAACCAGCTTCACCTGGAATGCTTTTCCAACAGTCTTGAGGGAGTTCCCACATGGTAGTCATGCTGGTTAAGTGTGCCTTGAATTCTAAATAAATCACAGACAGTGTCACCAGCAAAGCACCCCCACACCATAACACCTCCACCTCCATGCTCCTCCAACACCTCCTCCTCTCTTCTCCAGACCATCTCCAGTGTCCTTCTCCCTTACCTCACCTCGCTCATCAACTCATCCTTGACCGCTGGCTATGTCCCTTCCGTCTTCAAGAGAGCGAGAGTTGCACCCCTTCTCAAAAAACCAACACTCGATCCCTCTGATGTCAACAACTACAGACCAGTATCCCTTCTTTCTTTTCTCTCAAACTCTTGAGCGTGCCGTCTTTAGCCAACTCTCTTGCTATCTCTCTCAGAATGACCTTCTTGATCCAAACCAGTCAGGTTTCAAGACTGGTCATTCAACTGAGACTGCTCTTCTCTGTGTCACGGAGGCTCTCCGCATTGCTAAAGCTAACTCTCTCTCCTCTGCTCTTGTCCTTCTAGACCTGTCTGCTGCCTTTGATACTGTGAACCATCAGATCCTCCTCTCCACCCTCTCCGAGCTGGGCATCTCCGGCGCGGCTCACTCTTGGATTGTGTCCTACCTGACCGGTCGCTCCTACCAAGTGGCGTGGCGAGAATCTGTCTCCACACCACGTGCTCTCATCACTGGTGTCCCCCAGGGCTCAGTTCTAGGCCCTCTCCTATTCTCGCTATACACCAAGTCACTTGGCTCTGTCATATCCTCACATTGCCTCTCCTATCATTGCTACGCAGACGACACACAACTAATCTTCTCCTTTCCCCCTTCTGATAACCAGGTGGCGAATCGCATCTCTGCATGTCTGGCAGACATATCAGTGTGGATGACGGATCACCACCTCAAGCTGAACCTCGGCAAGACGGAGCTGCTCTTCCTCCCGGGGAAGGACTGCCCGTTCCATGATCTCGCCATCACGGTTGACAACTCCGTTGTGTCCTCCTCCCAGAGTGCGAAGAGCCTTGGCGTGACCCTGGACAATACCCTGTCGTTCTCCGCTAACATCAAGGCGGTGACCCGATCCTATAGGTTCATGCTCTACAACATTCGGAGAGTACGACCCTGCCTTACACAGGAAGCGGCACAGGTCCTAATCCAGGCACTTGTCATCTCCCGTCTGGATTACTGCAACTCGCTGTTGGCTGGGCTCCCTGCCTGTGCCATTAAACCCCTACAACTCATCCAGAATGCCGCAGCCCGTCTGGTGTTCAACCTTCCCAAGTTCTCTCACGTCACCCCGCTCCTCCACACACTCCACTGGCTTCCAGTTGAAGCTCGCATCTGCTACAAGACCATGGTGCTTGCCTACGGAGCTGTGAGGAGAACGGCACCTCCGTACCTTCAGGCTCTGATCAGTCCCTACACCCAAACGAGAGCATTGCGTTCATCCACCTCTGGCCTGCTGGCCCCCTTACCTCTGCGGAAGCACAGTTCCCACTCAGCCCAGTCAAAACTGTTCGCTGCTCTGGCACCCCAATGGTGGAACAAGCTCCCTCACAACGCCAGGACAGCGGAGTCACTCACCACCTTCCAACGACACTTGAAACCCCACCTCTTTAAGGAATATCTGGGATAGGATAAAGTCATCATTCTACCCCCCCTTACCCCACCAGCTAAAAAAATAACATATTGTAAAGTGGTTATCCCACTGGCTATAAGGTGAATGCACCAATTTGTAAGTCGCTCTGGATAAGAGCGTCTGCTAAATGACGTAAATGTAAATATTATGGTGGGAAATACGCATGCGGAGATCATCCGTTCACCCACGCCGTGTCTTACCCACACCGCGTCTCAGAAAGACACGGCTGTTGGAACCAAAAATCTCACATTTGGACTCCAGTCCAAAGGACAAATTTCCACCGGTCTAATGTCCATTGCTCGTGTTTCTTGGCCAAAGCAGGTCTCTTCTTCTTATTGGTGTCCTTTAGTAGTGGTTTCTTTGCGGCAAATCGACCATGAAGGCCTGATTCACACAGTCCCCTCTGAACAGTTGATGTTGAGATGTGTCTGTTATGTGAACTCTGTGAAGCATTTATTTGGGCTGCAATTTCTGAGGCTGGTAACTCTAATGAACTTGTCTTCTGCAGCAGATGTTTCTTGGGTCTTCCATTCCTGTCGCGGTCCTCATGAGAGCCAGTTTCATCATAGCGCTTGATGGTTTTTGCGACTGCATTTGAAGAAACGTTCAAAGTTCGCGTATTGACTGACCTTTGTCTTAAAGTAATGATGGACTGTCATTTCTCTTTGCTTATTTGAGCTGTTCTTGCCATAATATGGACTTGGTATTTTTCCAAATAGGGCTATCTTCTGTATACCCCCCCCCCCCACCTTGTCACAACACAACTGATTGGCTCAAACGCATTAAGAAGGAAAGAAATTCCACAACTTAACTTTTAAGAAGGCACACCTGTTAATTGAAATGCATTCCAGGTGACTACCTCATGAAGCTGGTTGAGAGAATGCCAAGAGTGTGCAAAGCTGTCATCAAGGCAAAGGGTGGCTATTTGAAGAATCTCAAATATAAAATATATTTGGATTTGTTTAACACTGTTTTTGCTTACTACATGATTCCATATGTGTTATTTCATAGTTTTGATGTCTTCACTATTATTCTACAATGTAGAAAATAGTAAAAAGAAAGAAAAACCCTGGAATGAGTAGGTGTGTCCAAACTTTTGACTGGTTCTGTATGTAGATAGATAGATATGTGTGTGTGTGTGTGTGTGTGTGTGTGTTATTATAATTTATTTGTGAAATAGCGCCCCTTGTGTGCACTTCCGGTAATACCGCATACCCCAGTATTGTACAGAAACGGAATGACGGTATGAAAATCTGGATACCGCCCAACCCTAGTGCACATTTTTGTTTTTGTCCTAGTACCGACACACTTGATCCAACTAATTAACTCATCAAGCCTTTGATTAGTGGAATCAGGTGTATTAGTGCTAGGGCAAAAAACTAAATGTGCACTACTTTGGGTCCCCAGGACCAGGATTGGGAAACACTGCCGTAGAGAGATTTCAGTTCTTCTAAATCTGAGGCCTAATGGAATACTCCAGGCCTGGAGCTAAATTACACTGTCCAGGCCCACTCGTGCTCCCCAAACTGGGGCCTAAGTCGCTGGTCCACTCTATACTTATGGAGCTGACAGTGACGGCGTGTGTTCCTGTGTGTGTCCTCCTCTCAGATCGTGCGTCATGACCGCACCATGGAGGAGATCGTGTTCCCTGTGCCCAACATCTGTGAGTTCCTGACCTGTGAGTCCAAATTGAGGGTGTATTACACCACAGAAAGGGACGAGCAGGGTAGCAAGATCAACGACTTCTTCCTCAGCGCTGAGAACCTCTTCAATGAGATGAACTGGCAGAAGAAACTACGAGGTAGCTAGCTCTTCAAAATGGCCTCTCAGGAGGGTTTTACTCATTGATATTCATCTACTTCCTCTCAAATTTGACTGCATTAACTTGATGCAGTCTAAATAAAATAAAAAATATATATAAAAGTGGTATGTTATGTCAAAACTTCCTAGTGATCTAATGACGTGACCCAGAGAAGCTGTGAAAGGGTTAATGTTGCTGTTGCAGGGCTAGTATTAATAGAGCCAGTGTCATCCTCTCTCTGTGTGTTTTGGCAGAGGCTAGTGTTTCACTATTACACCTCCTCTTTCCATTGTCTGTCTGTTAGTCTTGTCAGTCTGTCAGTGGGCTGTAGGGGCATTCCGCTACATCTGGGCCGTGAAACAGTATGAATCACAACTGAGAGCACAGCACACACACGCACACATTTACAGTAATACACACTCTCACATACACACTACACACACACACAATTACACATTGTGCATACACAGACACATGCCCACACACTTTCTCTCACTGTCAGACAGACAGAAAGAGAAAAGTCCCTCGTCTATTTTCTATTTTCCAATAAAACCAATCTGAAAAACGACACAGAATAGCGTCTATAAACAGTGCCAGCAGGCCAGATTGGCTGTCATCTGTGGGGAGGGGAGGTGACAGCCAGCTTCAGTAGAGGAAAGGTTACAGTGAGATGTCTAATGGTCATGTTCCCCATGGGTGTCTAGTCCTAAACCAACATGAACAGCAGAGACATTCAACTCCCCTCTGCCTTTGTGGTTCTTTCCTCCCCGCTTAAACTTCTAATAAAAATATAGAAATACTTATAATGATGTACATTTTCTTCACTCAATTCTAGAAATGGCACCTGTTAAGTGTAATATTTGACCATTGAACACTTTATTCTATAATAAAAATGTATGTGCTTTAATACTGAGCCTTTCTGTTATTGCACACTTACAGTACGAGGCACTGATACACTGTATCACACAGCTTTCACACACCACTGCCCTCCAGCTATGAGTACTACAGGATATACAGAGCCTGCTGTAAAGTATCATACCAAATAAGGAAATGTCCAATAGATATGCTGTTATTGGTAAAATGTGTAATGTCAAGTTTGTTATTTCTCTTTTTTCTTTTTTGTTCTCTTTCTCTCTCTCTCTCCTCTTTCTCCCCCCTACCGCTCTCCCTCTCTCTCCCCCTACCTCTTTCCCCCCTTCCCTCACTCTCTCCTCTAGCCCAGCCTGTACTGTACTGGTGTTCCAGGAACATGTCATTCTGGAGTAACATCTCCTTCAACCTGGCCGTCCTCATGAACCTGCTGGTGGCTTTCTTCTACCCCCTGGAGGGGTTGCGTGAAGGTCAGTCATGTGCCAGCGATTTTCTAGCTTTAACCTTTAACCCCTGTCTCTGGTCCAAAGCATTGACCACTCCCACCCCAGCCTTGATTGTCAAGCCACATTCAATACTAACCCTGGACATCAGGGTATTTCATTGATTTTCAAAATATTGAACATGGGTTCAAGATTTACATGCTGTAGCTATGTCCTTTTGAATCATCTGATTGTGGTATTCATTCATTCTGTCTATGCATGTAGTGTCAGTTTAAGAAAACACTTTCACAAATGAACCATTGTCTACATGTACCTGGTCACTAGGGACATCTTATGTACCTTCAATCAATGCTCAGACTCTTCCCTGTATATGAAGGAGTTTTAGGAGATTTCAGGTTTTTGCTGTTTCCATTGTGGATTCTTTCATGTGTGTTGATGGCATGGTCTGTTTATGTGGGCGCTTCGGCCCCGGCTCTGTTCCCCTCAGAGCGATCAAGCATATTTGTATGTCCCTTTGAAGTGCTGGTGTAGAGCATTGGATCAGAGGAAGGTTGCGTGAGTCGCACACACAACACTGAGGGCTGAAAACAGGAATAACAGAGGACGGCTTAGGTCTCTGTGATATGATCCGGCCCAGTTGCACTGTATCACATGGACTTCTACATGTATTTCAGTGCAACTGGATGGCTATAATATTTTTCTCCATTTTGTGCCTTTTTATAGGTGTTCCTCTACTTGTGCATTATGGAACATTGAGTGCACAATAACTGTGGAACATTTTGTTAAGTCATTGTAGACAATGGACTGATGTGTTTATATTACACTGTGTGCTTGTAGTTTTGTAGTTTTATAGAGGCTTATTTAGATAACACATTATTTCCTTAATTATGCAACAGAAATGGTACTCACACTCAAGTTAAATGTATTGTACAATTTTGTATGGGGGGAAATTGTATCTGTGTAAACACATGGCAATAATATTATTAGCTATGAGTATTTCAATGTGAGGGATTGACGCTATACTTATACAATATTGCCATATGCTAACTTTATTACCTCTTCACAAGCGTAAATATTTCCAAACAGTACACCAGTAAGTCTAGGTACCGGGCATTCTGATCTCTGGGGTTTAGAATGTAAAATATTCCCGTTGAGACATTTTGGGCTCTGGGAAGTGACCCAAAATCCTTTGCCTTCCCTTCCCAAACTCCCCCTGACCCAGTGATCTCCGTCCTTCGTCTCATCCTCTGACCTATTGACCTCTGACCTCAGGCCACCTGACTGGGATCAGGATCACAGGCTAAAAATCTCTCCTCTGTCTTCTTTCTCTGTCTCTCTCTCTCTCTCTCAAAAACTACAGAGATGTTATCATGTGGAAAAGTAACCCTCATCAACCCCATTTCAATGTACTTGAATGCTATTATACGCAGTCACACTAACTACTGTAACTGAGTGGAGTAGCATGGCTGTGGATGAGGCCTCTCTTGTAGACTACAGCAGTATTACAGCACTGTACAGTTCAGCCCAGTGTGCGTGTGTTTCCCGCCCTACAGTACAGTAGAGCTGTGTGAAGGGGGGTTAGGGGATCACGTGAGGCCCCACATACCTTTGGCCTGGTTCAGCAACTCTGTTTATGGCTCAGGGCCTCAATCGCTCGCTCGCTCGCTTTCTCTCTCTCTCTCTCCCCCCCGCTCTGGAATGAGGGATGGAAATTAGATAAGAATGCTCAAACTAGATCAGTGTGTGCCGCTGTCTGCCTGTTGACGAGTAGGGGCTTATGTCACTCAGGACCCCACACGCCTAGCCTAGCCTGACACAACACATACAGTACAGTCGCCCGCAGACACTATACATGGAGCTCTTATCACACACACCCAAGCAGAGCATGCAGACCCCAGACAGTCAGTCCATTCCTCATGACTCTTTCAGCTGAGTATTTTTTTTCTTCTTTATTTTCTATTATTTTTATTTTTATTTTTTATTATTATCATTTTTTACTCCCCAATTTTGTGATATCCAATTGGTACTTAGTCTTGTCCCATCGCTGCAACTCCCGTACGGACTCGGGAGAGGCGAAGGTCGAGAGCCATGCGTCCCCTGAAACACAACCCCGCCAAGCCGCACTGCTTCTTGACACAATGCACGCTTAACCCGGAACCCAGCCGCACCAATCACTGTACACCTGGCGACCGTGTCAGCGTGCATGCACCCGGTCCGCCACAGGAGTCACTACAGGGCGATGGGATAAGGACATCCCGGCCGGCCAAACCCTCCCCTAACCTGGACGACGCTGGGCCAATTGTGCGTCGCCTCATTGGTCTCCCGGTCGCGGCCGGCTGCTACACAAACCGGTATCGAACCAGGATCTGTAGTAACGCAGCTTGCACTGCGATGCAGTGCCTTAGACCGCTGCGCCACTCGGGAGGCCTCAGCCGAGTGTCACCTGTCATATGACCTCTACAGGAACCAGAAATGAATGGGGATTACTGTCCTCTTGCTCTCTTTCTATTACTAGCTCCCTATTTCCTCTTGCTCCCTTTTCTCTCCTCTTCTCCCCCCCTTTCTCCCCAATATGTTTTTTCCCAAATTCTACCCCCCGCCTCCCATTCCTTCCTGGCCCCCCCTAACACACACATGCACGAACGCAAACACACACGAACGCAAACACACACAAGCCTGCCTGCAGTAAGACCCTGGTTTAGTGCCTGGGGCTGGTTACAGAAGCAAGTTGCATAATTTATTGCATTATTCTTATGTGGAAGTGGGGTGTGTAGGCTGACAAGGTGTGGTGTGTGTGTCCTCCCTAGGTACCCTGGAGCCCCACCTGTCTGCCCTGCTCTGGTTGGGCATGTTTGCATCGTTGGCTATCGTGGTGGCCATGCCCCAGCCCCTCGGGGTACGCACCCTCATCATTGCGACCATCCTCCGCCTCATCTTCTCTGTGGGCCTGGAGCCCACCCTCTTCTTGCTTGGAGCCTTCAATGTACGTCTGCTTCGGGAAACGTGTGTGTGTTTGACTATATTGTAGTCCGACGCTAAATCTTAATTTCCGTGTTCTCCGATGTCAATCCAGATGACCTTGCTAGCCCTCAGTAGCCCCCCCTCTCTCCTCATGCCCCCTTCACACCACATTCATCCGCCCATGCCCTCCCCTGTACGTACCCACTACCCACACACCCTGTCCCCATGTAGACCTCCCTCACGCCCCAGCCCATACCCATTCCAGTGCCCATTCTGACTGTGGCGTAACCCCCTGGCGTGACTCCCTGGCTGGCCTGACTCCCTGGCTGGCCTGGCACAGCCTGAGTGTGTAGGCGGTTGGCTGTGAAATGCGTCACTAGACCCTGGAGGCTGACACCACCCCTGCAGCTGCCCAAAATTCCCTGGAACTGCCCCTTATACACGGACCGCTGCCCATTCCCCCTGTGTCCTCAACTGGCCCCTTCTGCATTTCTCTCCTCCCTCTGTCTCCCCTCCCTCCCTGTGGCTGGGGGATAGATAGTGATCCCACACCCATCTTCTCAACGCCAGAACTACTACAACTCCTACTATACTACTAAGAACAATCCAATGCTAATCCATTAAATGCCTGTCCTGTAGGATCACATTTGTGTCTTATGGTCATCATGGAATGTCATGTAGTGCATGTCCTATGAAAATATTCACATTTTATGCATAGAAAGAAATAACATATTATAAGCCTTGTTATAAGTTATAAAGCATTATGGCTGGATATTTTAAGTTAAATGTTACGTCACATTCCATTAATGGTCAGGTCTCCCTCGTGAAAGAGGTAATCTGACCTCAATGGAACTTCCTGGTTAAATAAAGGTTAGATAAAATAATAATGATAATAAATATGAATCTCTCCTGTCCCTGCAGGTGTGTAATAAGATCATCTTCTTGATGAGTTTTGTGGGGAACAGAGGGACGTTCACGCGGGGCTACAAGGCCATGATCCTGGACGTTGAGTTCCTTTACCATCTTATGTACCTCATCATCTGTAGCCTGGGGGTCTTTGTCCATGTCTTCTTCTACAGCCTACTGGTATATTTACATATATATTCTGTATTTTAATATATATGGCTGCTGGTGAGCACACAGTCACACTTAATAGGAAGCTGTCTAGAAGCATTAGCTAATGTTGGTAGAAACCTCAATGGCCAAACTCTCTGGTTCAAAAGCCTTTGGTTCTGGCTCCGAGCACAGTCTCAGGACACATTTAAGGCACACAGACACACACACAGACACACACAAAGACAGACACACACACAGAGTATTTAAGGACAGGGGCTTTTAACAAACAGGAACTGGCTCAGGTTGTGTTATGTTATTGTTGTTGGTTAGTTCAGGTGTGGATTGATGCTGGATTGATGCTTGCTGGTGAATTATGATGTGTCAGGTGTACTGCATGTGGCTGAGTCTGTGGATGTAACTAATTAGGTAACTAATTACAACGCCCAGGGGCTGCCAATGCAAATGCAGAGCAGCAGAAGATTTCCATGTGAATGACAGGATACTGTTATGTCAAATCTTAGGTGTCATAGAGAAAAGGACTGGGAATCTGTTTAGGAAAATAGAACAGCTATGAAAGGAGACACATAAAAAGAGGACATTAATTATCCAAATGATTCTATTTTTGTACAAATGTATCAACCCCCCCCCCCCCCCCCCACACACACACACACACACACCTATTTCCAAACTAGACACAAAATACCTTTATAATGGTCAGAAAAAAGTCTTAACAGATTTATTTATTTTTTACTATAATTTATATATTTTTTCCATTCTATTTCTACATTAGGTCTAGCTATAACTCCGTGTTGTGTCTCCTTCGTGCAGCTCTTTGACCTGGTGTACAGGGAGGAGACACTACTGAACGTCATAAAGAGTGTGACCCGTAACGGTCGCTCCATCGTACTGACAGCAGTGCTGGCTCTCATCCTGGTCTACCTGTTCTCCATCGTGGGGTACATCTTCTTCAAGGATGACTTCATCCTGGAGGTGGACCGCATTCCCAACACCACTCTGGGTGAGGAGGAGACCATAGAAATAGTTACTTTCTGCTTTACTGCTATGGGGCCACTCAATATGGCATAATTGATCAGAATGGGGGGCGCCCGTTCTATTTCTTTTAAATCTATGGAGACCAGGGATGTTTATTAGGCTGGTCCCAGATCTGTTTTTGCCGTCTTGCCAACTCCTCAACTCCAACGGAGTTGGTAAAACAGCACTGGGACCAGGCTAGATGTTAATGATCTGTCGAGAGGAAATTCTTTCCACGGCTTACTGAGTTACACAGTCACACAATAACCAACGTCCCTCACATCCCGGAAATCCATAACATATACAGTGAGGGAAAAAAGTATTTGATCCCCTGCTGATTTTATAAGTTTGCCCACTGACAAAGAAATGATCAGTCTATAATTTTAATGGTAGGTTTATTTGAACAGTGAGAGACAGAATAACAAAAACAAAATCCAGAAAAACGCATGTCAAAAGTTTTATAAATTGATTTGCATTTTAATGAGGGAAATAAGTATTTGACCCCCTCTCAATCAGAAAGATTTCTGGTTCCCAGGTGTCTTTTATACAGGTAACGAGCTGAGATTAGTAGCACACTCTTAAAGGGAGTGCTCCTAATCTCAGTTTGTTACCTGTATAAAAGACACCTGTCCACAGAAGCAATCAATCAATCAGATTCCAAACTCCCCACCATGGCCAAGACCAAAGAGCTCTCCAAGGATGTCAGGGACAAGATTGTAGACCTACACAAGGCTGGAATGGGCTACAAGACCATCGCCAAGCAGCTTGGTGAGAAGGTGACAACAGTTGGTGCGATTATTCGCAAATGGAAGAAACACAAAATAACTGTCAATCTCCCTTGGCCTGGGGCTCCATGCAAGATCTCACCTCTTGGAGTTGCAATGATCATGAGAACGTTGAGGAATCAGCCCAGAACTACACGGGAGGATCTTGTCAATGATCGTGAAGGACTGAAATCCTGCAGCGCCCGCAAGGTCCCCCTGCTCAAGAAAGCACATATACAGGGCCGTCTGAAGTTTGCCAATGAACATCTGAATGATTCAGAGGAGAACTGGGTGAAGTGTTGTGGTCGAGCTCTTTGGCATCAACTCAACTCGCCGTGTTTGGAGGAAGGGGAATGCTGCCTATGACCCCAAGAACACCATCCCCACCGTCCAACATGGAGGTGGAAACATTATGCTTTGGTGGTGTTTTTCTGCTAAGGGGACCGGACAACTTCACCGCATCAAAGGGACGATGGACCGGGCCATGTACCGTCAAATCTTGGGTGAGAACCTCCTTCCCTCAGCCAGGGCATTGAAAATGGGTCGTGGATGGGTATTCCAGCATGACAATGACCCAAAACACACGGCCAAGGCAACAAAGGAGTGGCTCAAGAAGAAGCACATTAAGGTCCTGGAGTGGCCTAGCCAGTCTCCAGACCTTAATCCCATAGAAAATCTGTGGAGGGAGCTGAAGGTTTGAGTTGCCAAACGTCAGCCTCGAAACCTTAATGACTTGGAGAAGATCTGCAAAGAGGAGTGGGACAAAATCCCTCCTGAGATGTGTGCAAACATGGTGGCCAACTACAAGAAACGTCTGACCTCTGTGATTGCCAACAAGGGTTTTGCCACCAAGTACCAAAAAAAATAAATAAAAAATAATACTAAGTCATGTTTTGCAGAGGGGTCAAATACTTATTTCCCTAATTAAAATGCAAATCAATTTATAACATTTTTGACGTGTTTTTCTGGATTATTTTGTTGTTATTCTGTCTCTCACTGTTCAAATAAACCTACCATTAAAATTATAGACTGATCATGTCTTTGTCAGTGGGCAAACGTACAAAATCAGCAGGGGATCAAATACTTTTTTCCCTCACTGTAGTACAGGGACAGGGAACACTATAGAATAGTGTTATGTGGAGGTGTTGTTCTTCCAGTTGTCATTAGCACGTTGCTAACTAATCTGATGTCCCTTGTAGAGAATGGGGCCAGTATGCCCAATAAGCTGGTGTCTGATGGGATGTGTCGGTCTGAGAGTGGAGAGAACAACTGCACCACAGAGCTTCAAGTGGATGGTACAGTACAATACAATACAATACTCCAGCAAACTATACAATAATAATAGCCTATGGCCTACTGCAAAGGTTTCTGTCAACCAAAATCATTTCTCAAAGGCCTTTATCAGATTATTGGCATTTGATCATCGTCAAGGCGCTTTGTGTGTGTGACAAACTAAACCAATGACTGGCTCTGATGCAGTTGTGGCAGACTCCTGTGTTGTCGTGGAGGCTTCTGTCACCCATGATAAAACATAATATCCTGCATCGAGGACAACACTCCTCGGTATCAGGCTAAGGCAGCTACAGCTTGCCTGATGCTCACCTTGAATTGAAATCCGCTGTTCTATCGATCGCTACATACATTCAGTCTGAAACTATCATCCTAGAAGTCGTTTGTGTGACTTCAAAATGAAAGGCGTTGTACAAAACAAATTAATTAGCGATTGGATCGTCTCTAACAAATTGAACCTGTCAGAGTATGAAAATTGATAGTGTCATCATGTAGGCCGAATCTGGCCCTACCCATCGATTTCTGGGACCAATCAGAACGGTCAGAATGTGTTCGCATTCTAGAAATCATCGGGGAGGGGTGCAAATCCAGACTCATCGTGGAGAAGAAACGTCAGTTGGCCGGAGCGAAGTGGATGGGTAACCAGGCAAAGCTACGGCAGCACTGGACTGGCCTGAAGGCTGCAGGGGAAACGTGCTGCTCTGGACTGTGCTGATCATTCTGTCTCCCATTCCATGTGTCAGAATGCTTCCATTGGCGAGGACATTCTCACCTTTATTGTTAAGGTGAGGCTGCAGGTTCTACCAACAAAATATAATCTAGCACTCTGGTACCTGCCCGGCAAACCATGACCTGTTTTGAATGTTACACACTGAGTCAAATGTAATGGAGACTGTTGCACATGTACATACAGCCTCGTTGACCTGAGCCAGTGAGGTGGGACAGCACGCATCCTTGAACATTCTTGTGTAAAATGAAGTTAGTTTGATGTTGTGTTTTTCTGTATACCAAATACTCCAAATATTGTCGTTATGGGGGGAGGCCAGAGGAAGGTGCTCATTTTGGAAGTGGGTTTCTCTTGGTTGTTAGATGAAGCAGGCTTTGCTGACAAGTTTCTTAAATACCAGCCCCTCCTATCACATTTTGGATAGCCTTGGATATATGTGCTAGGTGGTGGCACTGATATTTGGCAGTCTTGTCCACGTACATAGGCTTAGGGTACGTGGCCTTCAGATTGGAAGATGGCGCCGGAGGGGATGGCTGCCGTTTTATGGACTCTTAACCAACCGTGCTATTTTATGTGTTTTTTTGCATTGTTTGTAACTTATTTTGTACATAATGTTGCTGCTACCGTCTCTTATGACCGAAAAGAGCTTATGGACATCAGAACAGCGATTACTCACCTTGAACTGGATGAATAATTTTTATTTAATGAATCGGACGAGAGGGATTTGATTCAGACACCCGACAGGGCCCTCATCCCCGTCATTCGCAGTAGAAAGAAAAGGAGATATCGCGGAAGGAGATCGGGGTGCTTGGTAAGGAGCCAGCGACGAGTGGCTAATCTACCTTTGCCATCGATACTATTGGCCAACTTACAATCGCTTGATAATAAAGTGGACGAACTACAGGCACAAATATCCTACCAACGGGACATTAAAAACTGTAATATCTTATGTTTCACAGCGTCGTGGCTGAACGAAGACATGAATAACATACAGCTGGCGGGTTATACACTGTATCGGCAGGATAGAACAGCAGCCTCTGGTAAGACAAGGGGTGGCGGTCTATGTATATTTGTAAACAACAGCTGGTGCACGATATCTAAGGAAGTCTCAAGGTTTTGCTCGCCTGAGGTAGAGTATCTCATGATAAGCTGTAGACCACACTATCTACCAAGAGAGTTTTCATCTATATTCTTCGTAGCTGTCTATTTACCACCACAAACTGATGCTGGCACTAAGACCGCACTCAATGAACTGTATACGGCCATAAACAAACAGGAAAACGCTCATCAAGAGACGGCGCTCCTAGTGGCCGGGGACTTTAATGCAGGGAAACTTAAATCTGTTTTACCTCATTTCTACCAGCATGTTAAATGTGCAACCAGAGGGAAAACAACTATAGACCACCTTTACTCCACAGCAGAGACGCGTACAAAGCTCTCCCTCGCCCTCCATTTGGCAAATCTGACCAGAATTCTATCCACTGATTCCTGCTTACAAGCAAAAACTAAAGCAGGAAGCACCAGTGACTCGGTCAATAAAAAAGTGGTCAGATGAAGCAGATGCTAAGCTACAGGACTCTTTTGCTAGCACAGACTGGAATATGTTCCGAGATTCTGCCGATGGCATTAAGGAGTACACCACATCAGTCACTGGCTTCATCAATAAGTGCATCTATGATGTCGTCCCCACAGTGACTGTACGTAGATACCCCAACCAGAAGCCATGGATTACAGGCAACATCCGCACTGAGCTAAAGGGTAGAGCTGCCGCTTTCAAGGAGCGGGACTCTAACCCGGAAGCTTATAAGAAATCCTGCTATGCCCTCCGACGAACCATCAATCAGGCAAAGCGTCAATACAGGACTAAGATCGAATCGTACTACACCGGCTCCGACGCTCGTCGGATTTGGCAGGGCTTGCAAACTATTACAGACTACAAAGGGAAGCACAGCTGCGAGCTGCCCAGTGACACGAGCCTACCAGACAAGCTAAATTACTTCTATGCTCGCTTCGAGGCAAGTAACACTGAAACATGCATGAGAGCATCAGCTGTTCCGGATGACTATGTGATCACGCTCTCTGTAGTCGATGTGAGTAAGACCTTTAAAAGGGTCAACATTCACAAGACCGGATTACCAGGACGTGTACTCCGAGCATGCGCTGACCAACTGGCAAGTGTCTTCACTGACATTTTCAACATGAGTCTGTAATACCAACATGTTTCAAGCAGACCCCATAGTCCCTGTGCCCAAGAACACTAAGGTAACCTGCCTAAATGACTACCGACCCGTAGCACTCACATCTGTAGCCATGAAGTGCTTTGAAAGGCTGGTCATGGCTCACATCAACAGCATTATCCCAGAAACCCTAGACCCACTCCAATTTGCATACCGCCCCAACAGATCCACAGATGATGCAATCTCTATTGCGCTCCACACTGCCCTTTCACACCTGGACAAAAGGAACACCTATGTGAGAATGCTATTCATTGACTACAGCTCAGCGTTCAACACCATAGTGCCCTCAGAGCTCATCACTGAGCTAAGGACCCTGTGACTAAACACCTCCATCTGCAACTGGATCCTGTACTTCCTGACGGGCAGCCCCCAGGTGGTAAGGGTAGGTAACAACACATCCGCCACTCTGATCCTCAACACGGGGGCCCCTCAGGGGTATATGCTCAGTCCCCTCCTGTACTCCCTGATCACTCATGACTGCAATGGCCAGGCACGACTCCAACACCATCGTTAAGTTTGCCAATGACACAACAGTGGTAGGCCTGATCACGGACAACGATGAGACAGCCTATAGAGAGGAGGTCAGAGATCTGGCCATGTGGTGCCAGGACAACAACCTCTCCCTCAACGTGATCAAAACAAAGGAGATGATTGTGGACTACAGGAAAAAGAAGAGGACAGAGCACGCCCCCATTCTTATTGACGGGGCTGCAGTGGAGCAGGTTGAGAGCTTCAAGTTCCTTGGTGTCCACATCACCAACAAACTAACATGGTCCAAGGACACCAAGACAGCCGTGAAGAGGTCACGACAAAGCCTATTCCCCCTCAGGAGACTGAAAAGATCTGGCATGGGTCCTCATATCCTCAAAGTTCTACAGCTGCACCATCGAGAGCATCCTGACTGGTTGCATCACTGCCTGGTATGGCAACTGCTCGGCCTCCGACCGCAAGGCACTACAGAGGGTAGTGTGTATGGCCCAGTACATCACTGGGGCCAAGCTTCCTGCCATCCAGGACCTCTATACCAGTCGGTGTCAGAGGAAGGCCCTAAAAATTTTGAAAGACTCCAGCCACCCTAGTCACAGACTGTTCTCTCTGGTACCGCGGTACCGGAGCGCCAAGTCTAGGTCCAAGAGGCTTCTAAACAGCTTCTACCCCAAGCCATAAGACTCCTGAACATCTAATCAAATGGCTACCCAGACTATTTGCCTCCCCCCTCCCCCCCCCCCCCCTCTTTTACGCTGCTGTTACTCTCTGTTTATTATCTATGCATAGTCACTTTAATAACTCTAACTACATGTGCATATTACCTAAATTACCTCGACTAACCGGTGCCCATGCACATTGACTCTGTAATGGTACCCCCTGTACAGTGAGGGAAAAAAGTATTTGATCCCCTGCTGATTTTGTACGTTTGCCCACTGACAAAGACATGATCAGTCTATAATTTTAATGGTAGGTTTATTTGAACAGTGAGAGACAGAATAACAACAAAAAAATCCTGAAAAAAGCATGTCAAAAATGTTATAAATTGATTTGCATTTTAATGAGGGAAATAAGTATTTGACCCCTCTGCAAAACATGACTTAGTACTTGGTGGCAAAACCCTTGTTGGCAATCACAGAGGTCAGACGTTTCTTGTAGTTGGCCACCAGGTTTGCACACATCTCAGGAGGGATTTTGTTCCACTCCTCTTTGCAGATCTTCTCCAAGTCATTAAGGTTTCGAGGCTGACGTTTGGCAACTCGAACCTTCAGCTCCCTCCACAGATTTTCTATGGGATTAAGGTCTGGAGACTGGCTAGGCCACTCCAGGACCTTAATGTGCTTCTTCTTGAGCCACTCCTTTGTTGCCTTGGCCGTGTGTTTTGGGTCATTGTCATGCTGGAATACCCATCCACGACCCATTTTCAATGCCCTGGCTGAGGGAAGGAGGTTCTCACCCAAGATTTGACGGTACATGGCCCCGTCCATCGTCCCTTTGATGCGGTGAAGTTGTCCGGTCCCCTTAGCAGAAAAACACCCCCAAAGCATAATGATTTCCACCTCCATGTTGGACGGTGGGGTCATAGGCAGCATTCCTCCTCCTCCAAACACGGTGAGTTGAGTTGATGCCAAAGAGCTCGATTTTGGTCTCATCTGACCATAACGCTTTCACCCAGTTCTCCTCTGAATCATTCAGATGTTCATTGGCAAACTTCAGACGGGCCTGAATATGTGCTTTCTTGAGCAGGGGGACCTTGCGGGCGCTGCAGGATTTCAGTCCTTCACGGCGTAGTGTGTTACCAATTGTTTTCTTGGTGACTATGGTCCCAGCTGCCTTGAGATCATTGACAAGATCCTCCCGTGTAGTTCTGGACTGATTCCTCACTGTTCTCATGATCATTGCAACTCCAAGAGGTGAGATCTTGCATGGAGCCCCAGGCCGAGGGAGATTGACAGTTATTTTGTGTTTCTTCCATTTGCGAATAATCGCACCAACTGTTGTCACCTTCTCACCAAGCTGCTTGGCGATGGTCTTGTAGCCCATTCCAGCCTTGTGTAGGTCTACAATCTTGTCCCTGACATCCTTGGAGAGCTCTTTGGTCTTGGCCATGGTGGAGAGTTTGGAATCTTATTGATTGATTGCTTCTGTGGACAGGTGTCTTTTATACAGGTAACAAACTGAGATTAGGAGCACTCCCTTTAAGAGTGTGCTACTAATCTCAGCTCGTTACCTGTATAAAAGACACCTGGGAGCCAGAAATCTTTCTGATTGAGAGGGGGTCAAATACTTATTTCCCTCATTAAAATGCAAATCAATTTCTAACATTTTTGACATGCGTTTTTCTGGATTTTGTTGTTGTTATGCTGTCTCTCACTGTTCAAATAAACCTACCATTAAAATTATAGACTGATCATTTCTTTGTCAGTGGGCAAACGTACAAAATCAGTAGGGGATCAAATACTTTTTTCCCTCACTGTATATAGCCTCGCTGTTGTTATTTTTACTGCTGCTCTTTAATTATTTGTTACTTTTATTTAGTATTATTTTATATTGTATTTTTTGGTGATTATTTTTTTGGTGTTCTTTCTTAAAACTGCATTGTTGGTTAAGGGCTTGTAAGTAAGCATTTCATTGTAAGGTCTACACTTGTTGTATTCGGCGCATGTGACAAATACAATTTGATTTGAGATTGCAGGCCTGTCTAAGACTAAAGCAAAGCAACTGGTGAGTTACTGCTCTGTTTCAGCCTTTATGGGCAGCCTAGCTGTGTGGAGAAGGTGCTTTTTGTATCCTTAAGTGTCCTTGTATCCAATACCTTTGAAATGTTTGAATCCTTTATGTAATGTGATTTGTGGATTCAAATAAAGTATTTAAATGTTTGGGTGTGCTTAACCCTCCTACCTGTCCCTCTCCCTCAGACTTGTTAGAAGACATGGAGGATGGCAAGGAGCGTACATGTGACTCTCTGCTCATGTGTATCGTCACTGTGCTAAGCCACGGCCTGAGGAGTGGAGGGGGGGTTGGAGACGTCCTGAGAAAGCCCTCCAAAGAGGTAAACACACAGACCAGATCCCCACCCAGCCACACTGGAGAGAACAGAGCCCCTATTCATAAAGTGTCTCAGAGAAAGAGTGCTGATCTAGCAACAGTTTTGCCTTTTAAATCATTATGAATAAGAGGGAGGACCTGATCCTAGACCAACACTCCTACTTTGAGATGTTTTCTGAATACAGACCCAGTCAGGCCCAGTTAAACTATAGAGTTCAGTATCATCTGTAGGGTTGAGCTGATGTTTATAGCAATAAAAAATTTCCTCAGAACCCCTTCCAGCTGTTTGGCCTCCTCCCTGTGTGGGAATTGATAAGGTCTGGAAATACGCTATATATATACAAAATAATGTGGACACTCCTTCCAATTAGTGGATTCGTCTATTTCAGCCACACCCGTTGCTGACAGGTGGATAAAATCGAGCACACAGCCATGCAATCTCCATAGAGAAACATTGGCAATAGAATGGCCTTACTGAAGAGCTCAGTGACTTTCAACGTGGAACCGTCATAGGATGCCACCTTTCCAACAAGTCAGTAACATTTCTGCCCTGATAGAGCTGCCCCGTTCAACTGTAAGTGCTGTTATTGTGAAGTGGAAACGTATAGGAGCAACAACTGCTCAGCCGCTAAGTGGTAGACCACACAAGCTCACAGAACGGGACCGCTGAGTGCTGATGCGCGTAAAAATCGTCTGTCCTCTGTTGCAACACTCACTACCGAGTTCCAAACTGCCTCTGGAAACAACGTCAGCACAATATCTGTTAATCGGGAGCTTCATGGAATGGGTTTCTATGGCCGAGCAGCCGCACACAAGACTAAGATCACCATGCGCAATACCAAGCGTTGGCTGGAGTGGCATAAAGCTCGCCGCCATTGGACTCTGGAGCAGTGGAAATGTGCTCTCTGGAGTGATGAATCACGCTTCACCATCTGGCAGTCCGACGGACAAATCTGGGTTTAGCGGATGCCAGGAGAACGCTACCTGCCCGAATGCAAAGTGCCAACTAAAGTTTGGTGGAGGAGGAATAACGGTCTGGGGCTGTTTTTCATGGTTCGGGCTAGGCCCCTTAGTTCCGGTGAAGGGAAATCTTAACGCTACAGCATACAATGACATTCTAGACGATTCTGTGCTTCCAACTATGGGGCAACAGTTTGGGGAAGGCCCTTTCTTGTTTCAGCATGACAATGCCCCCGTGCACAAAGTGAGGTCCATACAGAAATGGTTTGTCGAGATCGGTGTGGAAGAACTTGACTGGCCTCAACCCAATCGAACACCTTTGAGATTAATTGGAACGCCGACTGCGAACCAGGTCTAATCGCCCAACATCAGTGCCCGACCTTACTAATGCGCTTGTGGCTGAATGGAAGCAAGTCCCCGCAGCAATGTTCCAACATCTAGTGGAAAGCCTTCCCAGAAGAGTGGAGGCTGTTATGGCAGCAAAAGGGTGACCAACTCCATATTAATGCCCATGATTTTGAAATTAGATGTTCGACGAGCAGGTGTCCACATACTTTTGGTCATGTAGTGTAGGTTTTCACTAAACTACCAGTCAGACCACAGATGATGACATAGAGCATCATGGAGAAATGTCTACTCCTGTCATAAACCGGTACACTCATTGGGCGCCTCCCTAGAAGGTAATTTGACCTGTAGCCTACATTTGATATGAATTACAGTTTTGTTTTTACTTTAAAAAATAAAATAAAACTTTAACCAGAGACTGTAAAACCAGTGTAATGTGTGCTCTCCGTCTGGTCTTGGTCAGTACCCGTGCTGCAGCATTCTGTATGTTTTGCAGCTGACCAATGGCTTTCTTGGGTAGACCAGACAGGAGAGCATTACAGTAGTCAAGCCTGCTTGTAATATAAGCATGGATGAGTCTCTCTGTATCAGCCTGAGAGCGAAACGGCTGCACCTTGGCAATGTTCCTAAGGTGGTAAAAGCTATTTTGGTCACATTCCTAATATGTGATTCAAAATTTAGTTCAGAATCTAAAACAACACCTAGGTTTTTTTACCTGGTGTTTTATATTTATTGCCCGTGAAATAAAATGTGCAGCTTGATTCTCTCTCTGCTTTGGCTCCAACAATAAGTACCTCGGTCTTGTCTTGATTTAGCTGGAGGAAGTTGTGAGCCATCCAAGTATTTAAATCACTAATACATTCTAATAATTTATCCGTGGAGCTAAAATCCTCTGGTGAAATGCTGCGTAGCAGTGAAAATCAATGCTGTACATTCTGATAACGCTTTCAAGGGGTAACATACTTTATATAAACTGAACAGTACCGGACCCAAAATCGAACGTTTGTGGAATGCCACATGTGATATGTATTTTCTCTGAGTTATATTCACCAAGGGTGACCGGTTAAATAGGTCCTAAACTAATTTAGAACTGGACCGGAGAGGCCTTCTCCAGTCTGTCCAGAAGGACATCATGGCCAACAGTGTCGAATGCAGCACTTAAATCTAAGAGTACAAGGACAGAGAGCAAAATGTTTATGGTGTAAAATGCTTGTTACAGTTAAAAAGAGGTGCTGGATGAGAGAAGAGCCTGTATACGGTGCCCAACATTTCAGCCTGTTTGCGTAACTGTTTCTTGAGGTCGTAACTGTGTGGCATCTGGCCTCTTGCACCAGTGTTCTTATGTTTCACATCAACACACGATTCATGGCCGGTCAGGCTAAGCCCCTGCTCATAACCAATGGCCCCCATTCTGCCTTTATGTAAAAACCAGGGCAGTGTTCAATATGGTCACCAAATGGAAGAAACAGACTGAAACAGGGAGGGACTACCTGGACCTGCCCAATAAGAGATGGTCATTTCCACCTTTCATTGCAGAATGTTTAAAAACATTTCAGTTGTGTACCCAAATAAACACAACCCACACTTATCTCTCTGACCCAGGTCACTTCATCATATGTCAGCCCAATATGATACAGGGCCGGGCCCCACCTTCACTGTCTAACATTTGGCTTTACTCTGACCTTATTGTCATTGTGTTATATGTTCTACGTGTTATTTCTTTGTTTTACATATGTTGTATGTTATTGTTTTAAATGTTATATGTGTTTAATCCACAGGTGGGAAACTCCATCCTGAAGGGTCACAGTGTGTCCAGTCCAGTACTTACACACCTAAATCAACTAATACTGCTTTACATTGATTTAAATGGACCTTGATTATTTTATTGGTTAAATAAGTTTATAGGTTGAGCTGTTAGTGGTGGGCTGGACCAAAAACCTGTTGCTCATCCCTGGTTTAGTCTGTAGACCGCACTGTGTCACTTTCTACTCAAAGTACCAACAATAATGGCTATAGTGTGATACAGTACTGTATATGTTGTGATCTGGAGTTTATAATGCTATATAATGTGTTGTAAATTATAACCACTCCTCTCCCTCCAATCCCCCCTTTCTCTCTTTGTAGGAGCCTCTGTTTGCGGCCAGGGTGATCTACGACCTGCTCTTCTTCTTCATGGTCATCATCATTGTCCTCAACCTTATCTTCGGAGTCATCATCGACACCTTTGCTGACCTGAGGAGTGAGAAACAGAAGAAGGAAGAGGTCCTGAAGACCACCTGCTTCATATGCGGTGAGAAGACATAGCTGCCCTGTCTCTAGCCTGAAAATAACATAACTACTAGTCACTTTAATGGGGTAGCCATGTAGTCTGAATAGTTTCAGTTTTCAGTTGCTTAGTAGAACACTGGCATATCAATGTAGGTTTGTTCTATTTTACAAGATAATCTCATGGTTTAGTCTGGATGGGGGTCACCTCATGAGTAAGTCCTGAGTATGACAGGAGTATGTAGGTAGTGCACACATGAGTAAGCACTAGTCCTTAGCTTGACCTTCCTCTATGAATGTTAGTTTACTGCCGTCCTTCCCTCTTTCTTCCCTATACAGTATCTCTCTTTCCTCCCTTTTTCTCTAGAACAGAGTCATGGAGGCTTCCTGCCTGCCCAGCACTCCTTTCTTCTCTCTCAGCCAGTCAGGTAGTGGGGCACAGTGTGCAGCAGATGGAATTAGTCCAGGGCCTGTACTCACATAGTAGGATCTAGGATCAGTTTTCCCTTTTAAATCATATTGAATAGGAGGTGGGGTGGGGGGGGGGTCCTAGATTAGCACTCCAACCATTAGACTTTTTGTGAACATGGGCCCTGGTCTGTTGCCGGGCTGAGCTGTATGTGTGTGGAGGTGGTCTATGACTCACACACATTAGATAAGGCCTGATTCGGGGGGGGGGGGGGGGGTGGCGGTGGCACGGCATGGCACCATCGTCATGGTTTCCGGGGGGAACTGAGGCAGAGGAGATGGGAGCGAGATTAGAGGGATTGTCTCCCATCACAGAGAGAGAGATGGTTCCTAAAGCCATTGACTCGGTCCTCCTCTAAGCCCCTCCTCAGTAAAAGTATTGCCTTTTGTGCCTCTTCCAGTGCCTTCGGAAAGTATTCAGACCCCTTGACTTTTTCCACATTTTGTTACGTTACAGCCTTATTCTAAAATGGATTAAATTGTTGTTTTTCCTCATCAATCTACACACAATACCCCATAATGACAAAGCAAAAACAGGTTTTTAGAATATCACATTTACATAAGTATTCAGACCCTTTACTCATTACTTTGTTGAAGCACCTTTAGCAGCGAATACAGCCTTGAGTCTTCTTGGGTTTGACGCCACAAGCTTGGCACACCTGTATTTGGGGAGTTTCTCCCATTCTTCTATGCAGATCATCTCATGCTCTGTCAGGTTGGATGGGGAGCATTGCTGCACAGCTATTTTCAGGTCTCTCCAGAGATGTTCAATCGGGTTCAAATTCGGGCTCTGGCTGGGCCACTCAAGGACATTGAGACTTGTCCCGAAGCCTCTCCTGCGTTGTCTTGGCTGTGTGCTTAGGGTCTTTGTCCTGTTGGAAGGTGAACCTTCTTCCCAGTCTGAGGTCCTGAGCACTCTGGAGCAGGTTTTCATCAAGGATCTCTCTGTATCTGCTCCGTTCATCTTTCCCTTGACCCTGACTAGTCTCCCAGTCCCTGCTGATGGAAAACATCCCCACAGCATGATGCTGCCACCTCCATGCTTCACCGTAGGGATAGTATTGGACAGGTGATGAGCGGTGCCTGGTTTCCTCCAGACGTGGCACTTGTCATTCAGGCCAAAGAGTGCACTCTTGGTTTCATCAGACCTGATAATCTTGTTTCTCATGGTCTGAGTCCTTTAGGTGCCTTTTGGCAAACTCCAACGGGCTGTCGTGCCTTTTACTGAGGAGTGGCTTCCGTCTGGCCAATCTACCATAAAGGCCTGATTGGTGGAGTGCTGCAGAGAACCTTCTGGAAGGTTCAGCCAGCTCTAGGAAGAGTCTTGGTGGTTCCAAACGTCTTCCATTTAAGATTGATGGAGGCCAGTGTGTTCTTGGGGACCTTCAATGCTGCAGAAATGTTTTGGTACCCTTCCCCAGATCTGTGCTTCGACACAATCCTGTCTCGTAGCTCTACGGACAATTCCTTCGACCTCATGGCTTGGTTTTTGCTCTGACATGCACTGTCAACTGTGGGACCTTATATAGACAGGTGTGTGCCTTTCCAAATCATGTCCAATCAATTGAATTTACCACAGGTGTACTCCAATCCAGTTGTAAAAACATCTCAAGGATGATAAATGGAAACAGGATGCACATGAGCTCAATATTAAGTCTCATAGCAAAGGGTCTGACTACTTATGTAAATAAGGTATTTCTGTTTTTTATCTGTAATACATTTGCAACAATTTCTAAAAATTGTCATTATGGAGTATTGTGTGTAGATTGATGAGGGAAACATTTAATTTAATCAATTTTAGAATAAGGCTGTAACGTAACAAAATGTGGGAAAAATTAAGGCATCTGAATATTTTCCGAATGCACAGTATTCGGAAAATATATAATAGCATTCCCATTCATTACTTTAATGACAATACAGGTACCATAGTAGCTCCTCCGTCTGAGGATTTTGGCCTAGATCAGGGGTGTCGGTTTATCCCCCCCCCCAAAAAAAGAAAAATCTAATCAAATTGTATATGTCACATGCGCCGAATAGGTGTAGACTTTACCGTAAAATGCTTACTTACGAACCCTTTCCCATCAATTCAGAGTTGAAAGGTAAGAAAAGAAAGAAAGGAAATAGTAATACAATAAAATAACAATAACAAGTCTATTTACAGTACTGTACAAGGAGTACCGGTACCGAGTCAATGTGCAGGGATACGAGGTAATTGAAGTAATTATGTACATGTAGGTAGGGGTAAAAGTGACTAGGCAATCAGGATATATAATAAACAGAGTAGTAGCAGCATATGTGAAGTGTGAAAGTGTGTCTATGAATGTGGCGTCTGTGTGTGTGTTGGAGTGTTAGTATGTGTGAGTGTGTGGGTAGAGTTCAGTGAGTGTGCATAGAACCAGTGCAAGAATGTCAGTCAAAAAAAGGGGGTCAATGCAAATAGTCCAGGTAGCCATTTGATTAACTCTTAAGCAGTCTTATGCCTTGAGGGTAAAAGCTGTTCAGGAGCCTTTTGTCCCAGACTTGGCGCTTCGGTACCACTTGCCGTGTGGCGGCAGAGAGAATACAGTATGTAAAGACAAGATTAACTCAAGAATTTGTAAGTCGCTCTGGATAAGAGTGTCTGCTAAATGATGTAAATGTAATAGTCTGATGGTTGACAATATTAGCCTATCACTTATAAATGATATACAGTGGGGGAAAAAAGTATTTAGTCGCCACCAATTGTGCAAGTTCTCCCACTTAAAAAGATGAGAGAGGCCTGTAATTTTCATCATAGGTACACGTCAACTATGACAGACAAATTGAGATTTTTTTTCTCCAGAAAATGACATTGTAGGATTTTTAATGAATTTATTTGCAAATTATGGTGGAAAATAAGTATTTGGTCACCTACAAACAAGCAAGATTTCTGGCTCTCACAGACCTGTAACTTCTTCTTTAAGAGGCTCCTCTGTCCTCCAGTCGTTACCTGTATTAATGGCACCTGTTTGAACTTGTTATCAGTATAAAAGACACCTGTCCACAACCTCAAACAGTCACACTCCAAACTCCACTATGGCCAAGATCAAAGAGCTGTCAAAGGACACCAGAAACAAAATTGTAGACCTGCACCAGGCTGGGAAGACTGAATCTGCAATAGGTAAGCAGCTTGGTTTGAAGAAATCAACTGTGGGAGCAATTATTAGGAAATGGAAGACATACAAGACCACTGATAATCTCCCTCGATCTGGGGCTCCACGCAAGATCTCACACCGTGGGGTCAAAATGATCACAAGAACGGTGAGCAAAAATCCCAGAACCACACGGGGGGACCTAGTGAATGACCTGCAGAGAGCTGGGACCAAAGTAACAAAGCCTACCATCAGTAACACACTACGCCGCCAGGGACTCAAATCCTGCAGTGCCAGACGTGTCCCCCTGCTTAAGCCAGTACATGTCCAGGCCCGTCTGAAGTTTGCTAGAGTGCATTTGGATGATCCAGAAGAGGATTGGGAGAATGTCATATGGTCCGATGAAACCAAAATATAACTTTTTGGTAAAAACTCAACTCGTCGTGTTTGGAGGACAAAGAATGCTGAGTTGCATCCAAAGAACACCATACCTACTGTGAAGCATGGGGGTGGAAACATCATGCTTTGGGGCTGTTTTTCTGCAAAGGGACCAGGACGACTGATCTGTGTAAAGGAAAGAATGAATGGGGCCATGTATCGTGAGATTTTGAGTGAAAACCTCCTTCCATCAGCAAGGGCATTGAAGATGAAACGTGGCTGGGTCTTTCAGCATGACAATGATCCCAAACACACCGCCCGGGCAACGAAGGAGTGGCTTCGTAAGAAGCATTTCAAGGTCCTGGAGTGGCCTAGCCAGTCTCCAGACCTGAACCCAATAGAAAATCTTTGGAGGGAGCTGAAAGTCCGTATTGCCCAGCGACAGCCCCGAAACCTGAAGGATCTGGAGAAGGTCTGTATGGAGGAGTGGGACAAAATCCCTGCTGCAGTGTGTGCAAACCTGGTCAAGACCTACAGGAAACGTATGATCTCTGTAATTGCAAAATAAGGTTTCTGTACCAAATATTAAGTTCTGATGTATCAAATACTTATGTAATGCAATAAAATGCAAATGAATTACTTAAAAATCATACAATGTGATTTTCTGGATTTTTGTTTTAGATTCCGTCTCTCACAGTTGAAGTGTACCTATGATAAAAATTACAGACCTCTACATGCTTTGTAAGTAGGAAAACCTGCAAAATCGGCAGTGTATCAAATACTTGTTCTCCCCACTGTAGGTGTGTCTTGACCAGTAGCTGTGCGTTGACTCACCCTACTTGTAGAGAAACGCCAATGCCATCCTCCTCTCTTTCATGTCAAGTACACGCTTTTATTTTTTGTTGTCCTAGGCTACCTGGCTAAAATGTTTGCTCGCTAACCTAACTTCCTTTCATGGGCAACGTTAGCTAGTTAACATTAGCCTTCTACATGTTGAACTTCCATCCTCTCAGACCAGGGGCACAATGTATGAATTTATGGTTGGATCAGAATCGCCATTATAATCATTGCACAGTACGGAGAATTAAGTAAAACCACAAGTCCAAATCCCTATCTCCATCCATGGCTAGTTTTGGAAAGGACCAATTTTAGCTAGCTAGCCACCGGAGGACAACAACACAACGAGATGCACAACGAGTTTCTGTCAATGACATATGCTCTCGATGCGATGTGATCGGAGTGGAGCAGAATCCAAACTGGCTTCCCTTGACATTTTTTTTTTATGTGCCAGGACCATTCACAGTTGAGCTCACTCTGTTTAGCTCAACGCTGATTGGCTATTATTTTATATAGTTTTTATCAAGGGAAGCTAGATGCTCGCTGGCTTCCCTTGCATTCAATGCTAGGGGCGGCAACAATGTCATACTCTTTTGGACCATACAGCATCAGATAGATGGCCTACACAAACAGAGACAGAGGGGCGCTGTTTCGCTCGGATGCATTCTCTGGTGAGATACATTCAGCCTCCTGCAAATTGAAGGAAAATTATGAAACACAGAGAGACAAAAGATAAATTATTGAATGTTTTTTTTTTTCTTGGTAAAGTTTTTGGGGATGCCTGGCTTCCCTTGGCATCCATGAATACACGCCACTGGTCTTGACTGTGATAAGGGCTTGGGAAATAATAGCATCTTGTCTGTTAAATTAACAAAGGGCTATGCCACTGCACAGACATAGGCTTCTACAAGCAAGCGCCACTGCTGAGGTTACTGCCTTTTTGAAGATTGTGTTCCACGATATAATATAACCAGTTGACATTACGGTTTCAATAAATTAGTCTTAAATGGAACTTGTTTTTTTATTGACTGAATATATATATATATATGGGCCGATTCGTTATCTGTAATGGTTATGATAAATTAGGACTTGTTGCGCACTGTTGGCATATAGAAACATGCACTTTATCTTTGTGTTCAATTTTTTTTTTTTTTTTTTTTTATCCGAGTACTTGGGAAAAAATCATGCGAGGACTAGAACAGTAAAAAAAAATCTAAAATGTCCATTCCTACAGGGAAATATACAAAACATTTGACACCCCTTGCCTAGATAGATCAAATCCAAAATGACCACACTTTCTGCACATTCCCCAAATTCACATGGCAATTTTCATATTTTGGAGATTACGGAAATTTGGCCAGTCTATCCAGGAAGACTAATGTTGTTTAGTCATTAGATTGAAAGATGGACTTTGTTCACAGGAATTGTCAAATGCTTCTGCCAGATGCTCATTAAACACCACGCCATATCACAGGGTCAGAAGTGGCTTACCCTCCGTGAATTGATTTACGCTCTCTATTGTAACCCCGAACTCCTAGTTGAACCTAGATCCCTTAACAATACCCCTAGTATTCACTATGACCCCTGTCCTAATTACCAGCAATCCTAACCGTGTGTGTGTGTGCGCGCGTTTTGATTTCCTCACAGGTCTGGAGAGAGACAAGTTTGACAACAAGACGGTGACGTTTGAGGAGCACATCAAGGAGGAGCACAACATGTGGCACTACCTGTTCTTCATAGTGCTGGTCAAGGTGAAGGACTCCACAGAGTACACCGGCCCTGAGAGCTACGTCGCTGAGATGATCAAGGTGACGCACACACACCAAGCCTGAGCTGGCTCTGGCCTTGTGTTACAGTTAAATGGGTAACATTTCCCCATGTCAGACCACAATGTCTAATAGGTAATGTGATACAGCAAATGCCCAGGCCGTCCCCAGTACCCACTGAAATGAGTGCATAGGGTACACTACATGATTGCATAGGGTACACTACATCCTGTCCTGGGGGTAGACTGAGGTTTGTAGGGTGCATATAGGGCCATAGAGTTGCTGTTTGTTTGTTATGGTAAATCCCTTAACTAGCTGCTGACCTTTGCTGCCTGTATGTACGTTGTGTGTAGTGAGTCAGAGGGGAGAATGTGACACGCACACACACACACCTCAACATAGCTATTTGCCCTTCCGCCCTCAACTGACAGAGATAGCACGTACACACTGAATGTCACTGACCAACTGAATGACAAACGAACTGGATGAGACATACACCCTGTGATCTCACTGGATGAGACACACAGAAAGGCAGAGGGACAAGACAGAACATGAACTGTTGTCAAACCTTAAACCAGATTAAGCTGTGATACGAGGCACAATGATAGCACTTGAAAAGGGAATAGGTTTCATTTTTGTATTCCACTATGATAGACCTGAGATGCCAGTAGAGGCATCTCTTAAAGAGTCTTAGTTTTTGCTGTTCGGCCTTGTTATTTTGGTAGCAATCATGTCATCATACTGGTCTGTGCAGTTTGGTGTCCTAGTAACACAAATACAAGGGAGGACGCTAACAACCCCCAGCCTTATTCTTATGTTTCAATGCCTTTTTCTTATGTTCCATGCAAATAAACAGACTTTGGAGCATAAATCACTCGCAGTGTTCAGAGTTTCTTTGCTGATTATGTTTTTCTTTGATATCCTCAAAGCCATTGGATGTCTGTATGTTTCTGTCTGATCTTCCTTTATTTACCCAGGCAAGTCAATTAAGATACATTTATTTTATCTTATTTACAGGAGCACAATCTGGACTGGTTCCCGCGGATGCGTGCGATGTCGCTGGTGAGCAGTGACGCGGAAGGCGAGCAGAACGAGATCAGAAACCTGCAGGAGAAGCTGGAGTCGGCCATGAGGCTGGTGTGCAATCTGTCTGGACAGCTCATGGAGCTCAAGGAGCAGGTGAGTCTCATCTGCACAGACATATACAGACAGATGTCTGTCAAATCACACCTTGGCTCCCAACAGCTAATTGGCAAGGCACTCATGTAGTTCTGAGATGATTGGATTGGTGAAAAGCAATACGGGATAAATTCCACCTAGCCTATTAGAAGGCAAGATGGAGCGATTTACTCTTGCTTACTGAGCTCGAGGCAAGAAGGCACCAAGAGCCTGCCGGTGCTGAAACTGAAGTGATTGATGGATTGTAGTTCATCACCGCCAACACTCGGTCTGGAATGTAATTACATGCTAGCATGGCTAGTGGCTAATGTTAGCCAGCTCGAGTTAGCATACGAACTCGGTAAGTTCTCCATACAACATTGACAATAGTGCATTGCGGGTAGTCCCAAAGATATATATTTTCTAAACTAAATGTAAAAAAAAAAAAGAAACACTAATAAACATATTTTGTTGGAGGTATAGGTAACCAGACTGTGACTAAAACTAAGTTACTAAGACTTTGACCACACTGTGTTGTTACTTAGGAGAGTAAAAACTCCTATTTCCTACACTTTAAACTGATCCAATCCTTTTTTATTATTAAGTGCCTATGAGTAGGAGCTAGGGGCCATTTTGAATTGAGCAGAAGGTATGTGAGATTCTCTCACTGCTCTGGGCTGTTGAGTGGTTGTGGAGAAAGGTTTGTGGGGTTGGGGTTGGCTGTGATGGGTGGGGTGGGGTGGGCCCAGGGTGGGTTCACAGAGTTGTTGAGAAATATACGGAAGCTGGATTGTGTGTGGAGGAAGGGGCTGGCAGTTCATGCGTTCACAGGGTTAACAATAGTCTATGTCAAAGCTCGCCACAGGAAACTTGGGTCTCAGTGTTTTTATCAGTAGGTGTGCACTGTGTAGTCTGCATGTTTGTGCGCTTCTCCATGTGTTTGTTATTGGGTGTGTACTACGTGTTTATTTGAGGTTGAGATCAACACTACCCCCCCCCCCCCCCCCCCCCCCCCCCCCTCGGCAGATGACAGAGCAGAGGAAACAAAAGCAGAGGATTGGACTCCTGGGCCACCCCCCTCACATGAACGTCAATCCCCAGCAGCCAGCCTGAGGGGGACCGTGGGGTGGGTACCTCTTCCTCCTCCTCCCAGGACCCTAACCCAGGACCACTCACATGGAGAGGCTGACCTTACAGTGCGTTCTTCAGACAGTCAATGTAGTGTACAGGAGTATGCCAAAGTGTGTATGTTCAGTAGTAGTGTGCCTAACTCATGGCCTTTAGAGAGTGAGTATGTCCAGTATGAAGGGATTTATGTGTGAATGTGTGTAGAATGCCTTAATGAACACTTAGTGTTTATGAAACTAGGGGCTTATGCATGTAGTGTACATGAGTGTGTCTGACTATTTACTGTGCACATGAGTTTGAGTGGGTGGATGGGGAATGTATGGTGTGCACAAAGTGCCCCTGGACTTGAGAAGAAGGAACCAGTCATGTAAGTTTAGGTTGTAAAAAGTACTGAAGTGAAAATGCCTTAGGTTGTCTTACTACCTTTAATGCCTTGTCCATCTTCCTTACCACTTTGAATGGGTGACAAAGGTTCTACTCCCCCATTGGTCTCGATGTATTTGGCGAACTTGAAGTCTCAGCCAATTGCAACACAGGACTCTTGAGAGACATGGGACACTCGTGTTGGACGCTTTCCTCTTGTTTTGTATTTGTAACCTGGCAAACAGTATTTCATATCTTATTTTTGTACGAGGTGCAATATGAATACTTTACGAAATGCAACCACAAAGATGTTTAATCTGTACATAATGTCTGAGGGAGATGGTATGAGTTTTTTTAGATGGGTTTGTTATTTTATTTTATTTATATACAGTGCCTTCAGAAAGTATTCATACCCCTTGACTTATTCCACATTTTGTTGTGTTACAGCCTGAATTCTAAATGGATTGTTTTTCTTACCCATCTACACACAATATCCCATTATGACAAAGTGAAAACATGATTTTAGACATTTTAGCAAATGTATTGAAAATGAAATACAGAAATATGTCATTTACATAAGTATTCACAGCCCTGAGTCAATACTTTGTTGAAGCACCTTTGGCAGCAATTACAGCTATAAGTATTTCTGGGTAAGTCTCTTAAGAGCTATCCACACCTGGATTGTGCAACGTTTGCCAGTTATTCTTCTAAAAAAAATTCAAGATCTATCAAATTGGTTGTTGATAATTGCAAGACAACCATTTTCAGGTCTTGCCATAGATTTTTAAGTACATTTAAGTCAAAACAGTAACTCGGCCAATCAGGGACATTCACTGTCTTCTTAGTAAGCAACTCCAGTGTAGATTTGTCTGGTGGAAAGCAGACTGAACCAGGTTTTCCTTTAGGATTTTACCTGTGCTTAGCTCCATTCCATTTATTTTTTATCCTGAAAAACTCCACAATCATTAACGATTACAAGCATACCCATAACATGATGCAGCCACCACTATGCTTGAAAATATGGAGAGTGGTACTCAGTAATGTGTTGTATTGGATTTGCACCCAACATAACTTTGTATTCAGGACAAAAAGTGAATTGCTTTGCCAATTTTTTTGCAGTATTACTTTAGTGCCTTGTTGCAAACAGGATGCATGTTTTTGAATATTTGTATTCTGTACAGGCTTCCTTTTCACTGTGTCAATTGGGTTATTATTGCGGAGTAACTACAATTTGTTGATCCGTCCTCAGTTTTCTCCTATCACAGCCATTAAACTCTTTAACTGTTTTAAAGTCACCATTGGCCTCATGGTGAAATCCCTGAGTGGTTTCCTTCCTCTCTGGCAACTGAGTTAGGAAGGATGTCTGTATATTTGTAGTGACTGGCTGTATTGATAGACCATCCAAAGTGTAATTAATAACTTCACCATGCTTAAATGGATATTCAATGTCTACTTTTTTTTATTTGTACCCATCTACCAGTAGGTGCCCTTCTTTGCGAGGCATTGGAAAAACTCCCTGCTTTGTGGTTGAATCTGTGTTTGAAATTCACAGCTCGACTGAGGGACCTTACAGATAATTATATGTGTGGGGTACAGAGATGAGGAAGTCATTCAAAAATCATGTTAAACACTATTATTGCACACAGTGAGTCCATGCAACTTATTATGTGACTTGTTAAGCACATTTTTACTCCTGAAGTTATTTAGGCTTGCCATAACAAAGGGGTTGGTAACTTATTGACTCAAGACATTTCAGCTTTTCATTTTTTATAAATTTGCAAAACTTTCGAAAAACATAATTCTACTTTAACATTATGGGGTATTGTGTGTAGGCCAGTGACCAAAAATCTAAATGTAATCCATTTTCAATTCCAGCTGTAACACCACAAAATGGGGGAAAAGTTGAGGTGTCTGAACACTTTCTGAAGGCGCTGTATTTCAATGGCGGAATAGAATTGTGACCACCTTTAAGACTTCTTTCAAGATTTTTAGACCAATGATGTCCCACAAATGAGACAATATATACAGTATTTTTGTCAAAAGAAAACTCAACCCAAAAGTCCATATGCACAGCATGGGTATCATGCTAAAGCCAGCAGTGTTGGGTTTCAAACACATATGGGTTTGTGTGCATATAAACCATACTATATATGGTTATTTTCTTATATTCAGATTTGAAGGTATCTGATCATTACAGGAAGCTTTTAGGATGAGGACCTGAGGTTATCTGTTTGAGGTCGTATATTTGTGATGTCATATCCTCTGGTTCCTGTAGCATATTTGCCTGTTTGGACTGCGTATGTCCCCTGTAGATGGTTCTTGTGAGCACTGATATGTATGTGAGCACTATGAGGGAGGGTGTAGAAGGAGAAAAGCCAACAAGGAGTCACACTGAAGAAGTCACCACATTGGTATTGCTTTGGTATTGCTTATGTCATACATTGGGAACACACTAAACACCTAAGTGAAAGAAAATAAATCCTTGTTTTGATATGTTGGCACTGAATTACATTCTGACAATCTTATATTTTCATCAATTTCTGGTATCTAATCTCTCAGCACTGATTATTATGTTATTATTGCTTGTAGCACATGAATGAATGTTTCTTAAGTTTACTTGTCACTTTGTTTTGTGAAGGGCCTTCCGTGAAGAGAGGTGTCCTGGTTTGATTGCAGTGTTTATGTAAAGAAATCCACAGAGTACTAATATAAAAGATTTGGAGTGCTGTTTGACCAAAGTCTCATTTAAACCTTTGATACTACTATATAAAACATGCTGTCTGAAATGTACATTCCATTCTTCAAGTCTATTTAATAAAGATATGTGGGAAAAATCACCCTCTGACTGTATGGGATGTAACATCACAGAGAGAATAATTGTGATGTGTTATACACAGAATCAGTATATCAGAATCAAATGATTGGTGTCCCCCAAGGATCAATATGGTCCATTAGTCTTTTTACTTTATAAGTCAGGAGTTTTTCCTGAACACTTGATCTGACAAGGGAAAACTCTGGGCCTATAACTAGGTCCCAGAGTTTGCCTTGGTCAGATGACATGGATGGAAAAACCCCTCTAACATAAGCATTTTAGATTACATACTATAGCACATACATCAGCTTTTAATAGATGAAGATGCATTGGGATGAAGCTTGTATAGGAGGTGATTCCTCCCCACTAATTAGAAGTGAATGAGGCGTCACCAATGGCCACGGGCCAGAATGATGTGTGCTGTTAAATGTGTATCATGTGATGCACTTGACTGGTTTTCCACTTATGACTAGAGTAGAGCCATTCATGCAGGGTGCTGCCCACTGCAGCTGGAGCTGAATGAATCGTCTGACACACAGGAAGCAGGGGAATGCCACCAGACAGTGTGAAATCTCCTCTCGAGGCTCTCCAACAGTCCCACTCTAACACAAATAAAAAAGCTATATAAAAAAAGCTATAAATGAATACAGATGAGGGAAGAAAGGTTTGAAACATGAGAATCTCCTTTTTCTCACTGGAACATTTTTACATTTACATCATTTAGCAGACACTCTTATCCAGAGCGGCTTACAAATTGGTGCATTCAACTTATGATAGCCAGTGAGACAACCACTTTTTTTTTTTTTTGTGGGGGAGGGGGGGGGGTAGAAGGATAACTTTATACTATTCCAGGTATTCCTTAAAGAGGTAGGGTTTCAAGTGTCTCCGGAAGGTGCCAGAGCAGCAAATAGCTTTGACTGGGCTGAGCGGGAACTGTGCATAACCTGGAGAGTTTGAAGGGGTATTAATGGGTGTCCCCATTATAAAGTAACATAGTTCTTGTGGTCAGTCAGGTACGTGCCATGGCACCTGGACCAGTAATTAGGTAAGTGTTCTGTTACCACAGCACCTGTTGTCAGGTGAGTGTCCTCTTACCCCATTCAGACTGACATCCCCAAAGCATTACCAGTTGCTGTTCTCTAAGGCCCTGATTCCGACCCAAGTTAAGCGTGCATAAATGGAACATAATTCCCTTTTTATGCACGTCTCTCTATGCGTATTCTGACCTTGAACTTAAGCATGAGAACAGCATGCTATTCACCTGCTATTTGTTCTGGGTGGAGATTGAATAAATGAAGGTGGGGCGGAGGTGTGTCTACAGATACTCCATATTCTGACCTTGTCTTAATTCCATAATAATGCCATCTTTACACGCGAAGAAACCATGAATAAGCGGTTCCAAGTCGAAAAAGCATCTACTGAATGTTTTTCAGATAGAAATAACACCGTTCTCCATGCACTGTAATTTACAACTTGAGAATAACTTGATAACAGCTAGGCAAATGAGTAATCCGTTTGGATAAGGGAATTGTAAATATAAATGACACTTGTTTTAGATATATTTTACCTTATAATCACTGGAGACAAATGTGAAAGCAGTCACATGGCAGCAAACTGACGCATACTGACATAGAAAACGTTCCCACAGTAAAGTTTATGAAATGCTGTGCCATTATGCAGAATTGAAATTGGACAGCCTTTTAACTTGCAGGGATGGGCACTCTCGAATTTGTTAATTATAGGCTACCCCAACTATCTCTGTTTCCTATTTCTATCATGTTAAATATTAGCCATTATCAGTATATTTTAC